CTTACATCTAACTCTGAGGCATTTCATAAATGCACAAAAGTAGGCCACAGGTGTTTTCCTGCAATATGGAGGGAATGCAAAATAAATACAACTCAATGAGGCATACAAATTAAGGCACAGATGCATCCTTGCTGAAACTTTTATCCAATGACCACGCTTAGCAACTATATCGCTTTTGTACCTTTCGTTCGTCTTTGTAACTTTTCGAGGTTCAACTCAGAAATGCAGATGTAACAACTTCCAGAGAGTGCCTGTACTAGAGCACTGTCACTTTAAAAAAGAGACTTTTTAAAAGCAGCTTGACCGGTGCACATCCTATTCACTTCAGCTAGAAATATTTTGGTCTTGGTGCGCTTCGTGTTGATGATAGTCGTGACCGACAAGCACCAGGCTCACACTTGCCTCATTGAAACGGGACAAAAGATCTTTCTTGTTTCCTTTTCAAATAGTCGTGTATTTTGTAAAGGTGCACTAAGAGAACTACACCTTTTTTTTTATAATGACTACTGAAAATTCACAATTTTAATTACAAAGATGTCAGAGTTAAGAGTTGGTGCACAAAACTGAGGCCATTCTTGCTACTGCCTAGCTCTGGCCCTTCTTTCTAAAAAGCCGAAATACCCTCCTCTTAGTGCACCTTTAGTGCCACCAGGGCCCTTTACTCTGATCAGCACACGGTGCTCTGCCCTCTCGGAACAGGAACAGTCTGGAAGGCATTTGATGTGGATTAGAAACCGCTCCGGCCTGTGGCATTCCCGCTAGGACACACTTCCGTCAACCACTTCCTCGCCACCACACAGAGTCGAGCATTTACGGAGGTCTTAAAAGACATCCGTAGCGACACCGCCCAAAAAAAGATTGAGACGCATGCTGTTTGCTTAGTGGAAGAAAACACACACAAGCACTGTTCCCATCACTGAGCGACAAACACGACACTTGACATTCTAACTGAGGTCCACACAGGTTATTCTGAAACACGACAGTCTACAGACAGCGAGTAGAGTGTACATACATGCTAAGCCTGCACAAGAGGGGCACCTCCAGCAGCAGCGCTGAGTAGAGACAAGGTTGTGCAGAATTATTGGGAAGAGTCACCAAAGGGTTCCACACAAGAGGAGGGTTTCAATTTGAAGAGCCTTCCATTCAAAATTTAAACCTGGACCAGTCCTCTTTATTCTAGGACAAGCGCCCAGAAGAAAAACTTTTATCCCTAAAATATTTTGTAAGCAGGGTTCGCTGTTTCCAAGTAAAACCCGATTTCACCCAAAACAAAGGCTGTCAGCTTACACTCTGTCAAACCCGTTTAAATTTATATTTCCAGGGCCATGCTGAATACTATTACAATTATAATCTGGAGACGTCTAGGATGAATAGTGAAAAGCTCCAAGTGAGAATTACCTTACAAGTAAAATATGTACGAGAAATATTAGTTATTGCATGAGCATTGTTCTCGAACCAACCAAATTCAAAATACAATTTTTCCACTGGCCATATCTTGAGGCTAGATATTAACTAGGTCATACATTTATGTTTTAATACAAAATTAACAATAATGTTTGCATTGCTTAAATATCATTTCAGAAATAGGCCCAGATATCATATTATAACCCCATTCTCCTCCTTTCTCTCCCATTCACTTTGCCCCCCCCCTCATAAAAAAAATAAAAATAAAAAAAGATTGGTGGAGTTTAAAATTTGGAAACAACAAACCCTTAAAGAGATAAAAATTTGAATAAAATGTGCTTCACAAGACATGTTGGAGCTAAGGCATATTGACAATTCCACACATAAAATTTGTTTCGTCAATCGAGTTCTTGTCAAAATGTCAACAAAAATCTTCACAATTCATGCTGGAAACTGGTGCCAAGTGGAAAGAAAATCAGGGATGGTGGCCACAATGGTTTCTTGATAAGCATGAAAGTGTAAGCAGGTAAATACAACAAACTCTGCACAAACTGTTTCCTCAGCCTGCTGCCAGGTCTGACCCTAGAATCTCCCCAAACCTGCTTTCCGGCAACTCGAGTAATGATCAGCTTCCACACCTGTATTGAGACACGGCCTCACCGTGTGCTTGCATTACAGTTCCAAGACACCCGTTACCTTCAGGCATAACTGGTGGTTACATACATGGTTATGGTCTAACCTAGGCAAAATAAAACTTCATGAACTGTACACAGTAAAGAAAGGAGATGATAATGGAGAGCTGGTACAAACTGATTCCCAAAACAATTCATAAAACATCAACAAATGTTTGTCAAGTGTATGTATATATATATTTAAAAAAAAGAGAACTTGGAACAACAATTGATGGACATGCTAGTTCCAAGTTTGCACCCGCTTTCAGCATCAGAGTTACTCTACCACCAACGGATGCTCCGTAAAGGAACTGTAAAAGGTAAAAAAAAAAATAAAAAAAATAACAATAAAGTAATGTTGGCATTACCAAGGAGTGAAGTGGCATTAGCTTGCAGGACAACTTGATTTTTTTTCTCTCTTTACAAACTCCCTGAGAAATAGCCCATACTAAGCTTCCTGCCAAAACAACAATAAAACATGACATAATGTACGCACACAAGTCTAAAACAAACTGAGGTAGATAGAATTGAAAAATAGCTGGCTTTGAAAATGCATCCCCTACTTCAAAAAGACAGTCTGATGCCCCTCAAAAAAGCAGACAAACAAACAAATGCAAACAAGAGCCAACCGATGGCTCCGACAGTCTGAGTACGGAAGGAAGGAGTGGCAAAGGTGGAGCAAACCATTGGCAACCCCAGAAAAGCATCTTCCGAGCTCCTTCGTGGCCTCAAGCTTTTGGCGGCAAGGTGCCAACGTTTTCCGCTGCCACTTCAATTGACTGGCCGAACGAACCTGCACAGCTTTGTGCTCTTGGTCACCCGTAAAAGTCAGTTTTGCTGGAGTTGCCAGTACTGCCAAAAAAACCAAAAGTATAAGCATCTAACACCTCAATCCATGACAAACAGAGGCCTACTGGTCTCTCCGAACACAACAACAATAAAAAAAAGAAGAAAGAAAACAGGTTGCACTCAGTTGGAAGCATTGTCACACCTGTCTTTAAGTACCCTTTCAGAACTGAGACCCTCCAACCGTCTCTCACAGGCACCCACTTGCGTTCCCGTCGCACGCGCAGCATTGACCTTTTGATGCCACTGCCAAGGTACGAGATGGCACCATACAGTCAGCACTCACAGTGTTCATGCAGCAAGCTTCTCAGAACCTTGAGTCCTTCTCAATGTTAAAGGTCTCCCAGAGGACTGACAACACTGTAAGGCACGAGAAACAAATGGACAGGAATCGGTCCGATTGTGGCAAATCAGTGTGCACCCAAAAACGCCTCGCATCCACGTACAGGCGTTCCGCCGCAGGTCCCCAGATCCGGCGTTACCGCAAGGCTGTATAAACGCTGAATTTGTTCTTTCGTCCAGGCAGGGGGTGGGGGGAGGGTTAGCCTTGCACGAGTTGGAGCTAACACCTCTCTCTCTCTTTCTCTCCCCTTCCTGGGTTCTGAGTGGATGCCACCCAGGTGGGGAAACAACCTAGCTTCAAGAAAAGTTAGCTTTCCCGACGTAGATTGCATGTTCCATGCCTCTACTGGAATGGACAGTCTGGGTGATTGATGGCCAACACACCTGCATTTCCTTTAGACACCCGTATATATGTCACGTGCCATGTGATGTCAGATGAAACTTGTTGTCAATAGTCTGACTTGTTGATTTCTTTAATCTTCTCTTATGAATCCCACCTCTCTTGCTGCTCCAACCTGCCATGACGCTGCCCAGCATTGTCAAAGTTAGCACACAGAGCCCTCTGTCATCCTGTGCCCTCGAATAGGGAAAGATTGAAGACCTGCTTCTTTTCTTTTCTTTCTTTCTTTCCCAAGTGACTACCTTGAAAAGCAACATAGTTGGCACCTTATATGTGTGGTGAGAAGGAAAACTGTACATCAGTGGTTTTCAGTGATAGCATGAAATGTAGAATGGGTAAAAATAAAAGTGTTGTACACGAAGTCATTGAAGGCTATTTGAGCATTCTGAAAAGGTACATGTCATATATATATACACTGTTGTTGCATGCCTATATTCCCTCAATTCTTTTTCTAATCTTAAGGTGAAGAAAACACGTAAAAATGTGCCTTGCAAAAAAAACAAGAAAAAAACCCCTTTTTGTATGGTTTTGTTTGCACCAGTATAACCCTTAAATTACTCTACTATAACCTCTAAGAAGACATGTACACTCAAATATAATTTTGTTTTGTAGACACGCAACATGGTATACTTTTAGAAAAAAAAAAAAAAAGGAGGTGTCCTGCCTTGTGTATGTTGGCTGTACAGTGTGTCAAATCACAAATAGGCGTTTCTTTGGTGTACTGGGAAACACAGTACTTTGTACCTTGGTAGAGAGCCATTGTGGGGTAGTGCCTCCATGAAGGGGTGCTAAAGGGTGAGATTCCTATGTACATGGAACACATGCTGTATGTATGTGCAAGGATGCAGCCTTGCTTGCACATTGTCTACATGCAAATGAACATGGAATGAGAGCCCTGCCTTTTAGAGTCCCATGTCTTCTCCACCTGCTTAAAACCATAAATGCTATAAGAATAAAAAAAATGTATGAAGCAATGTGCAACACCACAACTCTGGTCTCGGAAATTGTTTGTGCCACGCTTCAAAGCTCGTTTGTATTTTTCTGTTTTAATCTCATTTTCTCTTAGATGGCACTCTGCACTGTCAATAGTGTGAACGATGGAGTGATGGTGGTAAAAAACAGTGATTGGCTAACTCTCTAGAAGGTATCCGCCCTGTTTTGAAGGCTTTTGCCAATACAGGAAGTGGGCAGCACTCTGAGGGCAATCGAGCGAGCAGAGGGGGACTGTCTGGTTCGTTGTTCTATGCACACGTTTGGCAATGGGGCTTTATCTCCTCCCTTTTTTTTGGGGGGAGGGGGGGGGGGGGGGGCTCCATTTTTTCCATTCTACCCCAATTTCTGTTCTTTTTGTCCATTTAAAAAAAACAAGAAAACATCCTAAATAAAAAGAAAAAGATGACAACTACATTTAGCACATGTCATAGCCATATGGTGAGAATGTGATTTGTCCCTAACTGCTGTGATAGCATAAATATACGTACACATGAAAACAGCTAACGAAAACATACCCGCTTTCTTCTCTCTTTTTTTTTTTTATCTAGATATTTATAGTTTTGTCTTGCTGTTTCATATTATGTGTTGTGTTTGTAAATGATAAAAAGAAAAAAAAAATGGTTCGACTAACATGTGCTACATCAAGAAACAAACGGGGAGTGAAGTTGAATTAAATGAGATTTGGGGATCACCAGATAGGATTCCCAATGCCTGAGCCACTGTTTACAATGTCACTTCTCCCAAGGCTGACTGAGGCTTTGCAAAGGTCAATTTTGCAATATTTGACAGATCAAACACTTTTGGAGCCCTGGGGTCAGTTTAAGCCTGGGAATCCCACTGTGATTTTGAACTGAAAGGTACATTGGTCAACCTGGCTTAAGACAGCAGCGGCAAGGTGTTGACACTGGGAATGGTCGCTGACAGTCACAGTAATAAACTTCAGACGCAAACTGGAATCAGCAACTCGCCTCACCAACTGTAAACCTGGCAGAGCCTTTGGACACCTTTTTCGTGGTTTCTAAGACATCCCTGCTTTTCTAATCTACATAAAAGTTCCCGATGGGAAGAAGCAGGTAGACCCGTGCCAAAATTGAGAATCTCGGTTCAAGTTCAGACATATCGACAAAAACAAATACACAAAAAATATACACCGCATTTCCCAAGTTCAGTCATTTGCTTCGTGAGCGCTTTGAACGGCTCAAGGTAAATGCAAGAGGGGTTCCAACTCTGCCAGAGCATTCAGGCATCTAATTTATCTGCAAGTACCAAAAGCACAGCATCCATACAAGCTTCACATAAAATGTTTCATGCCAGCCCAAATTTAAGCGACACGATTCTAAGAAAAGCAGGTTGACTTCCAATTGGAAGCTTGTTCCCACCAGCAAGCCTAAAGTGGCTCGGAGAGGCTTTAAGCGTTAAAGAGAGGACGCAGAACGAAAAAAGACAAATAGCCGAGGGTCAACACCTTGCCTTGCCTGCCTGACCTTCCACTGTCTGCTACTTCTAAAGGGCGGTGGTGGCAGTAAACTCTCGTGGTCAGCCACCATTGAAACCACGAAGATTGGTTCGAACTCGGTGAAGTTCTACGAGGTAGGTCGTGCCGCACTCAAAAGGAGCTGCTATGCTTCGGGGTGCACCGAAGTATTCGTAGTGTCGCTCGCCACGTCTCTGTGCGACACAAAAGAGTTGTCGGCCGAGACAATGGTCTCGAGGGTTGCCTGCTCCTCCTCTGCTGCCGTTGTGGGCTCCTCTATGTCTCTCCACGCTGCAGAAGAGTGGTCTCCGAGCAGCGGGGTCGGTGCAGAGGTGCGCCCTTCCGTCCACGGGCCACCCTCCGTCTGCAGAAAGCAGTCGCTGGCATCATAGCGATGCTGACTTCGTGGCAGAGGGAGCCGCGACTCCGGGTCTCTGTTGTTGTAACACTGCACGCGCCGGGAAAGGTCCAAGAGGACAGTCAACACAACCCCTCAAGTGGCAACTGCAATATTCATACTTTTTTAAGTGTTGATAGCGGCGGATTAGCCTCATTGAGAACACTTCTTACTGAGCACCGGTGAACTGCGGAGAAGCAACCCTGCAGAAGAGAGCTTAGCAGATGTTGCTTCTCCACAGCACACCAGTGCTGTGGGAGCCGGTGCTTGCCACGTGGAAGGCTCGCACGCTGCCGCGCTGCGTCGCCGCCGCCGCAAAGTCACGCCGCCACCGCACACTGAGCGTTGTGCGACGCCGCTTCAACGCGTTTCTCCACACCGCCGCCGTCATCTGACCGGCGCACAGGTTTATCACGTTTGCTTGCGCTTTTTCAGGAGTTTCCTTTGGGCTCTAAAAGTTACTTATTAATCTTAGTTTTTAGAGCGCAGCTCTTAGGCGCCCGTTTCCGGCTTGAGCGGCGTCGCCGTCGGCGTCGGCGTAACCGCGCGGTGCATTATGGGTAAATTTTTCCGAAGGGACCCGCGGTTTCCCGAAAGAACCCGAGGTCGTCCCGAAGGAACCCGAGGTCCTTCGGGAGGGCCTCGGGTCCCTTCGGGAGGACTTCGGGAGGACCTCGGGAGGACCTCGGGTTTCTTCGGTAGGACCTTGGGAGGACCTCGGGTTCCTTCGGGAGGACCTCGGGTTCCTTCGAGAGTTGCATGCAACCTGATGACGTCATCGTCATCATCCCTGATGACGTCATCAGTGACGTCACTGATGACGTCATTGGCATCCGCATCGTCATCGTCATCATCACTGATGACGTCATTGGCATCCGCATCGTCATCGTCATCATCACTGATGACGTCATTGGCATCCGCATCGTCATCGTCATCATCACTGATGGCGTCATCAGTGACGTCACTGATGACGTCATCAAAGCGTCATCGTCAAGGTCACGTGACCCCCCGAGGTCACATGACCCCCTAAGGTCACGTGACCCCACTGAGGTCACGTGACCCCCTGGAGTCACATGAACCCCCTGAGGTCACGTGACCCCTGAAGTCACGTGACCCCCTGAGCTCACGTGGCCGCCTGAGGTCAAGCGATTCTCCTGAGGTCACGTGACCCCCTTGACGTCACCCAACCTCCCATGAGGTCACGTGACCTTAAGGAATCACCTGTCCCTCAGTACGCTCCCATCCTCCTCCTCAAGAGCTGCGCTCCAACCGGCGTTACAGGGAATTGTAAACGGCTTTTTGTTATCTTTCAAACAAAGGTGAATAAGTTACTTTTAAACGCCACAGGAAGCTTCCGAAAGAGCGCAAGCACCACGTGATAAATATGGGCCAGTCATATCATAAATAAGGGCCACTTTTCCGCGGTGCCAGCGGGCGCCAACTACAAATACGTATAGCGGCGTAAATATAGCTCTAAAAATTGTTTTTATTTGTGGTAAAATCGTTTTATTACATCCTTTTTCCATCTAAGCTGTATAAAAAAAATGTTTTTTTTTTCTTTGCATGTGTCCTTTAAGAAAAAACAAATTCTGTGACTTGATATCTGTATTGCAGTCAAATTTTAAAAATTGGACTGCTATTATGCAAGAGTATATGTTAGGCAGAGATGTCCCGACAACATGCAATCATCAATCATGATTGTCTTTTTTTTTTCCCTCATATTTGAGATTGAATAAAGGATATTTGCACATAACAACAAGACTTATAAATCCCCTCGATTAGGCATAGCTGGGCATTTCTATAGGTGTAATTTTATGTTAAATCTGTTACTTATTTGCCATCCCAATGCAGGCACTGGACTTTCTGAGACCACAGGCCATAAATATAGTTAGATTAAAATTTACTCGTAGCTTAGTAATGGACAAGTGAGAGCTTGGGAACATCCCTCACAAATTTAGCTGAGTTTTTGTTTAAACATGGTGCAACAGTAGAGAAAGGCTTGGAAAAGCTATTCAATATTTGATTAGAAATTATTTTACCAAAAACACTATTGCTTTAATTCACTCTGAACTCAAAATCCACTGTTCGCAAAAACCTAACAGTTTGCCCTTCCCTTCGATGACCAGGACAGTTTATAAATAGGGGCTAGTGAGCACCTATACTCCATTCATACTGTGCGTGACATCAACTTTTTACAGTGAAGCTGTTATGTGATAAGATCTGGGAAATATTGCGTCCATGGATGTTAACAAAAAAACTCCCATTTAAACGGCGCTCCTTTCATTCCGATTGGTTGTGGCAAGTAAAAAGAAAAAGAGGGGGCAACCCGCGTAAGTCAGCCTTCCTTGACATTATTAGATAGTGAGCTTCTGATCCCTTGTTATCATATACGGTCACTGACTTATCTCAGCTAAGAGTGCGCTGTGACAAGGTTGAGGGCAGAACATGCCGATCTAACCTTCTTTTCTTTCGCTTCCGCTATGCTGATAAAGGGACTTGGGCTCAATCGGGAAAAACTGTCCTTAAAGGGTGCCTCGAAAATTGGGTTTAGAATTTGTTCATAAGTGACCATAAGGCGGTGATCACTTTAGTCACTAAGAAACAAATAAAGTCAATTAAACAACAGAGTCATATGTAAATCATATAGATGTCGTATAGTTGTTGTAAAGATAACAGCTTCGCTGGTCCTCCATCTTCATGTGAGGTAGATGGGCTCTACAACTTTTTTACACTACTCTGCCAAGGCTAGCATACTTTCCACAGTGCTGCAGTTCCGCACTACTGCGAGAGCATGTGGCTTCATCCTGCGTCTCGTTTGCACACGCTCTAGTGCGAAGGAGATGCTGAATGGAGCAACATGCTCACGCAAGCAGCTCTGGCAGCATTGGAGTGCTGCAGAAACTATGCTAGCCTTGCAAGTGTAGCACAGAATAGTTGGCACCGAGCATAGTGTCCAACACTGCCAAAGTTGCTGGTGAGAGAGCATGTGGCTTCATCTAGCTTCTCACTTGCGCAAGAGCCTGTGCACACGAGCTGCAAGATAATGCAACACGCTCACTACTGCCAGCGGCTTTGACAGAATTGTATACTAGGTATGAAAGAGAGTATTGGCGACTCCTGCAAAATTGACGGCACCTAGTGACTAGAACAGAAAGCTGTCATGGCAGGTTTGCTGAACAACGTTCCCGAGCTACTGACTATTTTATGGCACCTGGCGGTCTAAAGACAAAGCTGGCAAATTAGGTTGAAACGGTGAACAAGATGGTGAACAGAACAGCGCCAACTCTCGCCCAACATACAACTCTTCTGCTAGGCTGCAACACATGCAATGAAAATCGCCAATTAGTGGTCCCTAATTCTTCCATCTGTGTGGGAATTTGGCAAATTCGTAACTGTAAGGAGGCTTTAGTGTACGCCCTAAACTGAGCGAGTTTTAAAAGTTGGGAAGTTTGCGAGAATCTCCTTGATACGGCCTTTCGGTGAAGTGATTGAAACGAGTCGTTTTCATGCAGATTTGTGAGTGGCAAAGAAAACTTTGAATTACATGAACTTTCAAAATCTTTGATAGAACAGTGGTGCAATACTCACAGGTGGGGAACTGTTGGTGGTGTGGACAGCACTGCCATTTCCCACATGGCCATTCAGGGTCACGTCACGAAGACGCTTGTCCTTGGCATGGCCGTTGGTCTTGCCATTGCACTGAGGGTAGCCTCCCTAGAAGTATGTGACAGAGATGATACATGAAATGATGTATGCGCTCCTGTTTAAGTCAGTTTTAATGCGAAAGCATTAACTGTCCCATAGTGCGGAACCGGCGGAGTCTGTAACCGCGAACAAAACGAGGAGCAGCGGCGTCTTTAACTGCGAAAAAACACTAAAGGAACTCCCAGGAGCCAGGAGAAATGCAAAAGAAACTCCCAACGAAATGACTCCTATATAGCCATTGGTCGGGATGCGTATTGTTCCAAGGAACGCCACTTCACAGAAAAGCGCTCTTCCTGGTACCCCGGCCCGCACGCCAGAAAGGGGTGTGCTCAGCCGTTGCTCTTGTGTCAGGCGTTGCCGGGGCAGGGGGAAGCTGCGGTTGCTTCTGCTCTTCTCGCCCCCGAGGCATTTATATTGGCGGTGGCCACAATTTCGGCAGTAGCGAAATGTGGCCATCCAAGCCAGTACACCGCAGAAAGACTAAGGAAGCGAAAGAATGACATTCATGCTTTCGCATTCACAACTCATAAGAAGTGCTTAGGTGTCCTCGGAATTTTTCTAGAACATTATACTACAAATTAGAATAAAATTTGATGAAGCTTAAGTACACATCTAGAAAGCTTGCCAGTGTACTAACATGCAAATTCAAAGAAAATACCAAACAAAAGAATTTGGGTGCAATGAAAAAAATACAGCTTCAATTCTTTTTTTGCCAGTTGTTTCATTTAACAAAAGTGTTCATCACCACTAAAAACATATTGCTTCATGTTGATATCATATTAGATACAGCGCCTTTATTGAAGCCTTTTATTGAGTCTCTGCACTCAGAAAAAGGGGCGTCCAATGTTTCGTTGTGTTTTAGCCTGATAAGCCACGCACAGATTATACCGAACTGAAAAACAAGCCACATGAACAGCTCACTTAACAAAAATGGGCCAACTAGTAGAAACAAGGCAGAAGGTAATTAAACAGATTGTAAGCACAAGTTGAGGGAGTACTAAAAAAATGAGACGTTTACAAATCTCTGCAATGCAAAATTAGAGCGCAACTCTTAAGGAGCGGGGGGGGGAAGGGTATGGACGGGAGGGTATGCCCCTCCTCTACCCCCGTACCCTCTCTTCTCCCCTCCTCCATCACCTTCTCCTCCAATTCAGTTTCCCCGCTAAATTTAGTGGGGAAAATGACGTCACATGACTTGGTGTCACGTCACCTGTGAACAAATTCAGTTTCTCCGCTAGATTTAGCGGGAAAATTCACGTTGCATGACCTCAACACAAATTCAATTCCCTGCTAAATTTAGCAGGGAATTCAATTGGCGTTGAGGTCACAGGGCGTCGATTTTCCCGCTAAATTCTTCCCGACGCTGATGCCGCAAAACACAGAAACGGGTGCCTAAGAGCTGCGCTCCAGAAAAAGTTTGATCTCTTCAGGTGACAACGATTTGGGAAGAAAAACTACCTTTGTGTCAAGATGATCTTCCGAAGCATTAGGAGGTGATGACAAGAGCTCCAGCTCTCGAGGAGTGGCAGGTGTTTTCCGTCTACTGAATAGTGTTGCAAAACATGACTGGCTGGCCAAGCGTCCTTCACTTGTAGAATCCTCATTTGTATTGCTGCATTTCCTGTAAAGCCAGGAAAAAGCACATCTAAGTTTGTCCTGATGATTAGCACACAAAATAAATGCAAGAAGCAGTACAAAAAAGGACATGATTATAAAAGGGCACAATAAAATAAAAAAAAGCAACATTCTTTGGTGCTTTTTTTACCATATTTAAAACAATTTTAGGTCAAATCATCATTTTTTTTTTTTTTAGATCTGAAATGGGGGTTGATCTATATTTGGAACCGAAGCATGCCACTGTCAGCAGAAACGAAATAGCCGTAATATTGAAAACAATCCACTTTGTTACGTGTTCGTTACCTGTAGCATTGTGTCATGCTGCGTGCTCGTTTCAAGTTTTTCTTTCTTTAGCGTGCATGAATAAGCATGACGATGAAGTAACGCAGAGAGTGCACAGTGGCAAACAGCGTGTGGTATGGCAGTACGAACACGCAGCCCTGTGCCGAGTCGACACTGGAACGACTGACACAGCCTCACTTGCAGCCTCTGCTTGCACGGTCGCACATTTTCGTTTGATTTTGTGCGACTGCAGACTTGAGACAGCGTGACCATGGTGGAGGGTGCCAGCCACGTTCCTCTGTATTGACATGAGTGGTCCATGTGGTTCTAATGTTCGGTGCTCATTCGCAACTATGTTTAAAGAGGAGTTTCATTCCTCATCCGGAAGAAACCAACAACTATGCTATTTGATGCAAGTTCGTCGTGTCAAGAGGGTGGTGCGCCAGTCGTGCTGTGCAACATGATCCCCGAAAAAGTGCGGAAGATGCGGTCGTTCACGAAGTGTGGGATTTTGTTGGACACCACCAGGAAAAACAGTATCAGTGAAGATAATGTTACCACCGGTGAGGACAAACCTAATAAATGTTCACTGTAAAATGTGCCCTAAAGTATGATCTTTTCTCTTTTTTGATGACACATAATATGGAAGGGTAGACTTACAATCGAGTAGTGTTGTGAAAATATTAAAATTTTCAAATAGTAGTCTCGAATAAAATGCTATTCAATATTTGCTTCGAGGTGAACTGTGATATTCATATTTTTGAAGTGTTGATAGCGGCAGGTTAGCCCCGTTGAGTGCGTTTCTTACTGAGCACCAATGCACTGCGAAGAAGCAACACCCGCGGAGCTCGCTTCCGAGGGTGTTGCTTCTCCCCACTGCACCGGTGCTTGGTATGAAGTGCACTCCATGGGGCTAAAACGCCACAATCAACACTTTGAAAAGTAGACATATTGCAGCCACATGCTTAGGAGGAAAGCACACTTTCAAAGAAGAATGAAGCACGCTAACATCTAATGTATTAAAAAAAAAAAAAAAACTTTGTGAATGTTGCTGTTTAGTTAAAGACATTGTTACTAAGTGGGCAAGCTGGTTTTAATCCACATACTGAAACCCGAGATGGACGTTGTGTCTTGTATGTTCGTCGTGTTTGTCCCCCTTTTTTAATGCGATAGCATTTAGGAGCAGAAAATTTGGTGTTGGTTCGACCAAAAAATCCCATAAAGCAATGTGCGCAGCCACGTGTGACGTCACGAGTCACGTGACATGACGTGACACGTGATGCTACCAACTAGACCACACACACTTGCTAGCACAGTTTGGGAATGAATGCGGGTTTATATGAGAAGGCATTGCGAACAACGCCCAATAACGCTGTCGCATTCCACTTTTAAAGGAGAAGCTTAAGCGTCCCGGAAGGTTTTTGTTTTCGTCTCGGGTTTTAGTATGTCGGTTGACATCCAGATTGCAGTAAAATTTTCAAAATAGAACTGGCTATTATGCATGAGTATATGTTAGGCAAAGATGCCCTGACAACCTATACATTAATCATTTGTGACCGGAGGAAAAACAATTGTATATAACAAGATTATTTATACGTAAAACCTCTCAATTAGGTATAGCTGGGCATCTTATAGACCAACACGCATCCCTGACGTCACGCAGCTGCGGTGGTGCTGTTGACGACACTGCGCATACGCAGACGTTTCACTTTACGCGATTGTGGTTTCTGCGCACGCGCAGTGCCCATACTTGGTGTGGACAAACGAGGGATTGTTCGTAAACAGCATGTCGGGCTTATAGACCGACAAGCTGTTATATAGACCGACACGCCAAATATGCCCTTTACTTGCCAACCCAATATAGCTATTGAACTTTGCCGAGGACACAGTCAATGAATATTGCTAGATTAAAAGTAATGAAGATTAGAAATGAACAAATGAAAGCTTGGGATAACCTTCACAAGTTCAGCTGGGGATCTCGTTTGAACATAGTGCAGTAGTGAAAGCCTTAGGGGGACATGCACCAGGGGAAACAATTTTTTTTAAAATATTATTTACGATATTGAAATAAAATTTTCAGTTTATTGTGCTCAATCTTCTCTTTATATATATTCTGGTATTTAGATTTGATATAGCTTGCTTTTTAGGTTCTTGATGCAATGTTCATGCAGAAAAAACAATGTTCTTGTGCACACATGAGGCATGGCAACACTTTTAAAAAGGCCTAGTAAAAAATAACAATGCACTCCTTTTACACCACTGAGTGCAATGAACAACAAAAATAATGTGAGCGACACTCCTTACATTTTAAAATAATTAAAATAACAAAAATGTTATTTCAAGGTGCTAACAAATGTTTCCTAAATTTTTCATAAATATAAAAAAATATACATTGTAGCTAAACCTATGGTAGTTGCGTTCTACATATTCTAAAGTATCTGAATGCTAAATTAGGTTGTGATAGGACAATATTAAAAAGGCACTGACACATCAAAATCATTATTTTTTTTTATTCTCCGAAACGATTGAAAACGATGCCGGGACATTACCCTCAAAATTTGAAACTTGGGAATTCAGTATTTGTGAAGTAAAAAAACAGTTTCCAAATGCCGAATTCGAAGTTCCCGCGCGATCCGCGCCGGTGCGTTGACGTCAGATACTGCGGAGTCCTGAGAGTCGACTTTCTTTCACGACTCCGTGCTGTTGCCACTGAGAACCGAAGCGAGGAGGAAAGGAGCGGGAGATAAGGGTGCCGGCGGACCGAGAAAAAACGGTTTTATTCCGTGCGAGCAGTGCCGCCTGCCCAGGCAGCATGTTTTCCGAGGGAGGATACAATTCCAGAAGGCGACATCACACCGGACTCCGATTTTCGGTATTTCCAAAAGAAGGGCCGTAGTGCGTTCGCAAATGCGTTAGAAAACATGTTTTACGATTGCCGTTATTAAATGTTATAGAAATGTCGCCTACAAAGCTTAGAAATCATGAATCAAAAGAAGCGAGGAAGCGAGGAGTGGGAGAGGAGAACGGCAAAAATAAAAAGGCACATGAGCGCGTGGGAAAATTTTTTTTTTGTCATGCGTTTCTTTTTGCGTGTTTATGACTACAACTTGCATCGTTTTAGACAATAAAAAAAAATATAACCGTTGGAGTGTCAGTGCCCCTTTAAGAATTAACAAAAATTATTGTGCACAAGCTGTGAAGATCCCTAAAATTACATGAAAAGAAAAACTTGTTCAAATGTCACCATAGATGTGCAACAATATACTCTTTCATAGTGCGGAAAATAAAATTTTGTTAATAAATTTCCGTGAGAAACTGAGGCTACAGAAGACTGTAATGAAGACGAGAAGGCTAGGTCTACCTGTCAATGTAAACGTGATGACGGGTAACATCACAACATGAAGAACCACGCAGAGAAAAATGGCTCAAATTCATGCCGTTCTGGGGTGCGTGGAGGTCTTCAAAGGCGCATTTTACTAATTTCGCGATTAAACCGGCACAAATTTTTTTCATACCTCAAATATAAAGATTCAAAAATAATGAAATACAATAAAAGCCAAAGTCACATTTTTGGCAGAATATTGTTGTTTTCCGACCTGGATCTTCCCTTAGAGAAACTTTTCGATATTCGATTCGATAATATTTAGCCAATACCACTACTTGCTTCAAATTCACTTAGCAGTCGAAATCTCCTATTTGCACATGACTAGAGTCGAGTAAACTTAAAATCGTGCAGGTAAATAGATGTAGGCTTTTCACAGCAGGTTAAGAAAGTAACATACATATTGCAAAGTTAAAAATGGTCATAGCAAAGCAGGGGGTGCAAAATGGCTACCTTGATTTAGAGTGTCTTAGCTCCGAGTTACAGGTAGACTTGATTTCACTACAGGGTTAACCTTTTTTGGTCATTTGTCGGGTTACGCTCACCTATCAGAAGTTATGTGACAAACTCACCAAAGCACAACTGAAAAATGTTCACAGTGGGTCAAGCACAGCTGCAGCAGATACAGGTTTATGAGTGTGCACACCTTCCACATTGATGTACAAAGGAGACAATGGGGTGGCCCATTCCAAAATGCTTGTTGGAGCTCCACTGCTCAGTGCACCCAATTACCGCAAGTGACCAAAAGGAAACACCGAATACAATGTCCAGGAACTATGCCTATGAATCGCCCAAAATAGAGCACATCAAATATAGTGTGTTTGATTTTAATTTGAACAGATTTATTAACAAAAAGACACGAAAAACACAATAATGTAGTTTGTGCAGGTGAGTTGTACGGCCAGGGGGACATAATATAGGGAGCTAATCGCACAGTAAGTAAAAAGGTTAACTAAAATTTCTTAATTAACTGCCAAATTAGTGAAGAAACATATATATCCAATTAGAAACTTGCTAAGCATCATATAGGACCAGTGAATTAGCCAATTTTAGAAAGATTTGAAGCATATGGCAAGCACAGGGGTGCACTAAATTTTTGACTGGTGCAAGAAGCACAGTGCTGGCGGTCCGGAAATGCAGATAATAATCTTTTCACCTGCGCTTTCGTACTGCCAGTGGTGTGTCTGTTGCAGAGGCGGTAACTTAAGCATACTCCTGTGCTTCCCATGTGCTTCGAGTTTTTTCAAAAACTGACCGATTTAATAGTTTCAAATGACACTCGGCAAGTGTTGAATTGAAACCGTATGTCTACTTTCACTAATTAAAAAGCTCATTAACAAATTTTAGTTACCTGTCCAACTCATCGTGACGATTAGCCCCTATATTAATATGTCCCCCTGGCCATATAACTCACCTGCACGGATCACATTAGTCTACCTTTTACGCTCTCCTTCTAAAAATAAGTCAGTTCGAATTAAAATTAAACACCCTGTATAATGTTTACTTTTGTACGAGCATTGCCTAAATTTGGCATTCTGCAATGACAACGAGAATGGGCCATACTTGTTTTTGTAGAGGATAATTATGGCACACAGGGTCATGCAGAGAAGGCCAGCTGCCACCCCTAGCAGGATGCCGAGGGACGGGTCCTCATCTTGCTGCCCTGCAGCTGAGCAGAAAAGACATGTCAATGGAAGCTTGCTAACCTTTCGGGTAGCTCAGTGGCGTAGCTAGGAGAGAAACTGACACTGCATCAGCCCCCTCCCCCCCCCCCCCCCCTGCCCCCATCCCCCACCGAAATCCAGCCAACCGTATAATACTCACATGTATTTTGAACCCCTCCCCTCTTCCCACAACCTAAGTCATAAACATCCAAAGCACCTCAGCGCCCCCCGAAAAAAAAAAATTTCTGGCTACGCCACTGCGGTAGCTAACAATGCCTAAACATTTAGAAACCATCAGATTAGTAAACAATGATTCTTCTGTGAAATGACAGTTCAAAGTTCACAGAAATGACAGCTCTACTGAAATCTTCAAGATCAGTTAAGACCACAGCAATTAAAAGAGCTCCAGGATCTGCAACTTGAAAAATCACGTATTTAACCATTCGAGTTCTGGCTTTAACATCTGGCACAACAGTCGCCGACCAATTTTTCGGACTTCACAGGGACCGAAGAAACGTCTGAATAATAGAGCAGTCTGAAAAATCAGCAGATTGAAAAAAATCCGAGGACACCTAAGCACTCTTACAAGTAGTGAATGCGAAAGCATGAATGTTGTTCTTCCGCTCCCTTAGTTCGTCTGCGGCGTAGTGGCAAGGACGGCCGAGCACAAACTCTCCTGAAGTGGCCGCGCTGCACTGAGCTCGGCTGTGCAGCCTCTCCAGAGTTTGCCTGAGCGGGCTGTGCGACCAGGCCCGCAGCGTGTGCTGCGACACCATTGAGAGGGCTTCTCTGGTGGCGTCCCTTGGAACTAAGCCACGCGAGAGCCGATGGGAGCCTCGTTCCTTGATGACGTGCACCAGCCAGTGGGAGCCTAACCATCAGATTTCTGTTACAGACGACAGGCTTCGCTCCATTGGGGCAGGGAAAGGTGCCGTTTGGCACGGCTTCGAAGCTGATGACGTCGGTTTGCTCCATGGGACAGTTAATGCTTTCACATTAAAACATGCCTTTATTACATCTAAGCAAATTTTAAAAAAAGTTCAGCCTTTCCACTCTCATGAACAAGGAAGACCAGCGGAGCTGTACTCGATACATTGCTGCAATGCGCACGCGCCCGTTTTCCGTTTCTTCTCGTCTGAAACGCCGCCGATCGTGGATACGTCTCCGGCGAACCAGAGTCGGTCGCACACGGCGCACATGACGCCAAATGGGTAATCCACGAACTCCCTTCGGAACCTCGCCGTCGCGCCCGAGAACTGTTCAGCCGGCGTAGAGTACAGTCGTTGCCGGGCCTCGCGTTTGCGCTTGGCCTCCGTGGCACGATCGTCGTCCGTGGCGTTGGCCCGCCGGCGCCCTTTACATCGCTGGTTCTGTTCTCGGCGGAGGCTTTCAAGGCGAGCGATGTGCTCTTCTTTGGCAAGGGAATCTGAAGCGCTCGACGCACTGGAAGTCGAGGCGACAGCGGCTTCATGTCAGTTGCGGACCCATTCGCGCTGCTGCGTACGTCGCCGCTCCTTCCGCAGACAGTTTTCTTTCCCCGAAGGGGCGCGTGGCCGACCCATCCTAAGTCCAAACCAGATGGGCCATTGTGCTCAGAAAACACGGAATTTTAGTCATATGTCAATCTATGTCACATTTCACACTACAGCCATGTAAGGCACAGGCTCCTCTCTACATAAGCTCAGAGCCGACCAGCCTTGATTCAGTGCACCACTATGGCTCTGAGGCAGACAAGAGCCGAGCGCATACAAGCATACCGCCAGCGTAGGAAGTAGAAGAGGCAACAGTAGGGAGAAAACGAGCCCACCTCCAATGCAGCCCCACAAACCACCGCAGAACGCTCCAAAGCCTACTGTTTGCGCGACAGATTCTATATGTTCCCCGGTCTTCATCAGCAAGATCTAGGTAGCGTAATTTTTTCAGACATGTTCAATTACTTTGAAGTCTTTGTGGAACCGTTATTCCCCCCTTAAATAAAAATACAACAGCGATCGAAATTTTTGACACCATGAAACTTGTTGCTCAATTTTTCAAGCAACTTGGGTAGCACGGTTCGTACCCACAAGACCGCTGCCACGAGCCAAGTCACTGCAATATTTTTGTTTTGATTTATAGGCGCAACAACACATCCTACACGAAAAGAGAACTTGAAAGACGCTATAACTGTATGTCCCGTTTTGCTATATATAACTGCCGTGGCCACCATCCGCAGCCGTCTTTGCAAGAACAGAATTGATATTGACATTGATATTTGCCTTAGCTCGGAAAAGCCGCAATGTTGCAAAAAGGCAAGTTGCCCGTATTAAGAAGGCCTGCAGTGCCATGCATAGCGATGATGCAATGACATTGCACATGTGACGAAAAAAAGTGTTGACGGGTTTGTGGTGGCTAATGACAGTGTCTGGTTCTTTCCTGCCATGTTGACAAGGAACTCCAGTGCACTCTCGCTTGTTGGGCCTGCCCGCAGGCGCGCTAGACAAAACTTCGGTTCCTCTGATGGGCGGCCACTGCCGAGGAGCCAAAACGGCTCGTGACTGAAGGCCGACACGGACGCAACATCATTCGTTGTGTAACCTTGTGTTTATGTGCCAAATAGTTACATAAAAGTTTTTTGTTTTTAGTAGAACCACATAAGTTTCAACAGGTTCAAGTGGAGCTTGTGGACTAGAGTGGGGGGGGGGTTTGATGTTCTGTGTGATGACATTACCTTCGTCTTTGGTGCAGCTAGTTGTGGGTGGTCACAACTGCCATTCTTTTTGTGTTCTTTGAATGCTAGTGCTCTATGCCAATAGGTCTAGTAGTGAAGTAGAGTGAAGCGTATCGGCTGAATGTTGTCTCCAAGCAGGGCAAAAAAGATGCACTTCTGAAACAAGGGGCAAGTGGCCAATAGAAAGTGCAAGTTTCAGGTAAACTTAGTATTTCGGATGAAATGACCTTTTAAAACTGCACAATCCCTGTCAAGTCTGAAAAATCGGTTGGCGACTACTGATCCATATTAGTATAAAACTTTATTATAGTAAAACGGGCTGCCAAGGGGAAACACAGGTTCACGCGAGCATGCACAGAAGTATATATTGAACACAAATCAAGGACCCCAATCAACCAGTCTATAATATGCTGGTCTAGTCATCAACTGAAGCTCACTAGATGACAAAATCTGCAGAAATAACTTTACATCTAGCTTTTAATGTCGACCGCCATTAGTCTCGTAACATTTACACTGCTTTGACAGCCCTTAAAGCACTTATTCCCCTAAAGGATTTATTTTTCAAACGACCGATCGAGACAATGGTCAAAGTAAAGAATGAGTCGATCGGAGCCAACCTTGAGGGTGTGGAGAGGAGGTACTGGGCGAAGGGACGCTGATCACAAACTTGATGACTTGGGTCAGAGGTCCTCGGCCAGCTGAGGTCTGGGCTTGCAAGCGCAGGGAGTACACCGTGTTGATGGCCAGGCCATTCAGCACTGACGTCAACCGGGTACCTGCACAGGGATTGGCAATCTCGCTGAACCTGGGATAACCCTCTCCAAAACAGAACAATGTGAGTTGTGAAAACAAACAAGCAGCAATCTGAAATCAGATGAGCTAATTCAAAATGACTGATGGAATGTACCATTTATTCTGGACTACAATCAGTGAACTATGCACATTTAAGAGCTTAAATTTTACGTGGCCGTGCACAGTCTGCAGCTGCAGACTACACAAGGACTTGTTTTTCCTCAATCATATGGGTTCCCAAATTGGGTTCTAGGAGGTTCCCCAGATTACCCATAGGTTCAACAAGCTCCAAATTAGGCTGATGGTCCCTTCCCCTGAGTGGATCCATTCCTAGTTTAAGCGAAATTGCATCACATCTAATCCTTCATAGATGCATAGCTACGAGGCACACACTTCCTAATGCGTCTACTACCGTTTGCAGGCCCTGTAGGCTCCTGAACCGCTTTACTGTATCAATGCCGAGACTGGGGCGGGTTCTTTGGCCATCGGTCAGGGCAGGTGAGGGGTGATTAAACAAAACGATTGAGAACACCTGTTCTAGTTCACTCATTTTGGTGAGATGTGACGAGTTCCGAGAATGAACAAGTACTATGTTAATGATGATTCCTGAACAATGCGAGCTCCTTACGAGCTAGTAAAACAGGGATTTGTCAAGGCATGCTCCATATAAAATATTTTACACGCATAATGCGCATTCGGGTCCGCAAAATTAAACATGCAAACGATAGTAATTCATAGCAGGTGTATACCCAATTTTTTTGGGACGCTGAAGTGCCACCGACTTACTAGATTTAAAACTTCGATCACGAGGGGGTCTCGCACGTTTCACGTCGACCGGGTGAATAAGCAGGGAATTGAAACGACCCCGGAAGCCAGCCGCCGCTTTGTTTTGCCAGTTATTTTGAGGAAATGTTTGTACTGGTTTACAAAATTAAAAAAGAAATCAACTTGGAATTAATGGGAGACCAGCACTCACAGAACATATGGAAACTAACAAGATACACGGAGTCGCTTTCACTGAAGTGTTTACCACACACGCGAGAGGTCCTCAGATTTCTCTTTTCTATTTTCAATTTGATGAAACATTCCTTTGTTAGTTTTATTTTGTCCAAATCATAATAAATAATACTACATCCTATTCGCCGTGGTAGATGTTTTAGTGGAGTAAGGCACTAGATATTCTATTTTCCTCATCCAGGCTTTTGTAGTGAAATAGAAAAAGCACACCACCATCGCTTCGACACCTCAGCGCAAAAAGGGTTGTTAGGACGACTACACTCTCCAAGCTTTAATAAAATGTCCTACTATACAAATATCACTTCACCAAATAAACATCGCGTGAAACAGGCTTTGCCGGGCGTTACCCATACAACGTATGAAGCGAGCTGACATGCCGAGGGATCCAAGATCTGCGTGGTCTGTTCCGGTCTGTCCTACCGCTGACATCACAAATGATGATGATGACAGCTAGAGAAGTGCTCCCTGTAGTTCGCGCATGCCGCCAATATCGACTGTCCCCGCCATGGGAGTTCGATACAAAAAGACAACACTCCTATAGTATTACATGTGATTTTCAAGGGGATGATTGGACTGTTTGATATAAACAATCATTCGAAATACCCGGGGTGCGATATAACCAGGCTCGACTGTATAATCAGTACCGTTGTCCATTTAATGAGGATGGTGATCTCCGAGCACATATGCAATCACGAAGGCAAGGCAACAACAATTGAACGAAGCAGACAAATAAAAAAAAAATACCAAGGACACCTAAGCACTTTGTATAGGTTGTAAATGCGAAAGCGTTCTCGGCGCCGAGAGAAGCAGACGAAGCGGCCGCAGCGCCGGCAGAAAGTGTGGCAATGTGCTGTGCAGACTGCCCTAACTTGCTGGAGACTGCTGCACCGCTAGGTGAGGCAGCGGCGGGAGTGCGCGAAGCTCGGTGCGATGCAGAGAGTGTGAAGCTCGGCACGCGTGTGCTGAAATCACGTGTCTTCTCATCATCATTATCGCTCTAGTTGGGGGTATCAGATGACAATGTTAGACCTCAAAACGTAATGCTAGGCCTAATGTCAGGCCAGCGCATAGCCGCGTCCCCCGCTCCCACTGCGCCACCAGCAGTTCTGCTGGCCCCTAGCAACGATGACGCCGTTGCCATGAAGCCACATGACGTGTCACAGCCAATGGAAATTTAGGTGCCGTTTTTCTGCTACAAACGGCTACAGACAACACCGGCTTCACTTCATAAAACAGTTAAGGCTTTCGCATTAAAATTTTGTGCTCTCCAGCCAATTGCGAGGTTCCCGGAGAAGACGCCAACGTCGGGCGGCTCTGCGTGACTGCCTCGTCTTTTTCAACGGTGACAACGACATGGTCCGAAACGCGCATTTTTTTCTCAGTGTCAATGCACCTTTAAAAACGCAGTATGTTGCACATTCTCTTTGTTCTGCTGAAGTGAGCTTCACAGCATTCATTTCACACTGTCAAACTTTTTGTAATTAACACATCAGGAACAAGCTGTATTGCCCCAATTTGGCCCCAAATGACATCTATTGCCACGTCTCCAGTATTGCCACTAGAGCCTCTCAGTTTAAAAAAAACAAAAAAACAGTAGGGATCAAATTTAAAAATCCAATTTCTTTGCACAAAAACAATTATTTTGACCTGTAATTGGTTACTAGTCCAGATGTGCCTATTGTGTTGAATCAATTTCATATCAAATCAGTAACTATCGAATTTCGCCAGAGCTCCCCTTTACCTTTCCTCCTCTCTCTCTCTCTTCCCAAGTTGTTAACAGCATGCAGCCAAATTCAAATTTTAATTCTTTACTTCTCTCCACTTTGTGGGCACCCTGGCGTCTCCCCAGTCCAGTTGCCCGACTGCGGTGCACAAGGGGCAAACTTTCCCGCGTGGCAGTGGAGTTAAGCGGGCCATGCGCACATTGTGCGCGCCGCCTTGATGAGACGGATCAGAGGCGGCACACAGTCAGCCGCTGCCCTGACTCGAGAGCCGCCGGTAACAATGTTAGTGTAGTGATCGTCTCGTCCATGTCCAATTAGGTAAATGTAGTTTCCTGTTCTTGAAACTGCTGGCTCCGTGTTATTCCTCCAGGTGGGGTATGCAGCAAGGCAAACCAACCACAACTTGAAGAGGTGAGAGAAATAAAGCTGTTCTTTAGTTGCAGTCTATAAGATGTGACAATTCTTGTCAGTCTATTTATTCTGTTCTTCTTTCGTAATCAAGTGAGATTATTGATAAATTAGCTCAATGAAAGTGACAAAAAAAAAAATAAAGCTAACAACATGGGGAAAAAACAATTGCAAACGACCATACAAAGTGTGCTGTGATTGACAGTGGCAGCTTCTGCGTTGTGAAAAGGCCCTCTCGAACGTGGAAGTCAGGGTCCTGCATCCTTTGTAGCTCTTGCGCCGTTGCAGACCTTTGCCTACTCCATTCAGTGGGGCACATCTGCCCTGTCTGCTACTCGGACGCAGTGCGACACTTGCGTGGTTTGGCCACGTGCGTTAGAAAGTGAGCGAGGGGCACCTGTGACGACAGTTGCGGTGGAAGAAGCGAAAGTATGCAGGCGAGCTGTTCCGTAGAGGCACGGAGAGCACGTGAGAACAGAACCTGGGAGGCGGCAGTGGGGAGACGAGGGAGCGTGTCACCCAAGGGTGACCACGTTGGTATTTTGCAACAGCAGAAGTGTTGGGGAAAGCATTGCCAGAGAGGAGAGCACTCTCCCCGTGATCGCATGTTTTTTTTGGCACAGTGGCGGTCTACGGAGAGGGAAAGGCGTGGGGGGGGGGGGGGGGGGGGGCGAGAGAGAGCCTTGTCGCAGTTGGCGTGTATGTGTGAGGAATGATGGGGAGAGGGAGAGCAGTGCCTCTGCTGTAGAGTGAGGTTTTACGTCCATAAATGAGCATTTTTTTGCCAGGAAACAGCACTCACAGCTAAAGCCGTAAAATGCAGTCTAGCAGCTTTTCGAATGTAAGAAAAGACAAAGCAGTGAGAATAAGTGAGGCTGTTTTTCCTGCCAAGCAGTCCCGAGTTACAGCTGAGAGGTGTGAGGCAGTGCATTATGTACGTGGCAGGATATGGTTCATTCTCATTCCACACGAAAATATGTCGATCAACCAGCTAATGAGCCGAGGCAGCGACAGCGATGTCTGCCTTCCACTTTTATGGCGCAGACCAAGCGCGAGCATTAGTGACATGCTGCCAACACCACGAATGCCTCCCAAACGGCACTTTATTGCTTTTTGCGAGGCACTGGCAGCATCGGTGGTGGCGAAAAAACAGCGGAGGCACTTTCTGCAGGCAGTTCACTTCCCTCCACATTGTGCACATTCAGCAGCATTTGCGATGAGCACATTAGCCGAGACTGGGTGCCTGAAGTTAACAACATCCGATTACTCGAGATTCCCAAAGAGGCTATGAGCATCGCGTTGTTGTCTTCCTCATTTACCCAATACCCCTCCCCCCTTTCCCTTCAACTCTCCTTCCCCGAGAGTTTGATCCACATCCCTCTGAGCCACAATCCTATAACCTCTTCACAGGATGTCATCTCGCCTCAATCACAGTCGCTGCATCAAATGTATAACAGGCACAATGCTAGCTTTTAACACCTCATTTTTTGTGCAAGCTAAAACCATCTAGAAAGCTTTCAGCCTTTCCACTTTCGTGAAGAAGGAAAACCAGCAAAGCTGTACTATGTGTAAGGATTAAGGTGTAATTGGGTAATTGGTTATGTGAGAACCGTATTGTCCCCGGTTGTTTTTGTTATATCACGTCAACCGCCAAAGGCTCGTGAACGGAAGTCGAGGCGCCACTAGTCGTTCCTCCACCACGTTCAACCTCGGTAGGTGCTCTGGTACGGGTGGGTACTTGTAGCCGTTCACAGTCACGAACTTTGGCACCGCGCCTTTGAGCAGGAAATCTCGGCACGTTCTGCACGCCGGTTCTTTGTAGACGTCTGCCGACTCAATACACTGCCGCAACACGCACGCGCCCGTTTCCCAATTCCTCTCGTCCGACACGCCGCCAATCGTGGATAAGCCTCAGGCAAACCAGAGTCGATCGCACAAGGCGCACGTGACGCCAAACAAGTTCTCTATGAGCTCCTTCCGTAACCTCAATGTCGCACCCGGGAATTGTACAGCTGGCGTGGAGTGCTGTCGTCGCGGGGCCTCGCGCTTGCGCTTGGCCTCCGTGGTTCGCCGGCACCGTTTACATTGCTGGTTCTGTTCTCGGTGGCAGCTTTCCAGGCAAGCGATGTGCTCTTCTTTTGCAAGGGAGTCGGGAGTGATGGATGGACGCAGTGGAAATCGAGGCGACTGCGGCTTCACGTCAGTTGCGGACCCATTCGAGCTGCTGCGTATGTCACCGCTCTTTCCGAAGAAGAAACACACGTGACGAGCGCTGCGCTCGTCACATGTGTTTCTTCTTCGTCCTCGTCTGTTTTTCGCACTGTTACCTACGATGAATTCCCACTAACGCGCTTAACTATCCATTCTTTTATGATAGCTGGAAAGGTTGCCGCCATCTACGAGCGACGGTGGCAACCAGACTGGTTGTGTGCTTGCCGCCGTCGCTTATAAATGGCGGTAGCTGTCCAGAGGTTTGTGGAGGTTTGTGTCGACAAGATTTCGGTACCAGACACGATCCTGGGGAACCTGGCCTTTAACAGCTCTGCTGTAAAATACTTTCCCAAGAAAATTGTACTTACTGCATTTACTCAAGTAATAGTTACACTGTTTATGAAGAAAACCTGAGGGTTTGCTTTTCCGCGGAGCACGCAGACTGCCAATCGCCGCGATCGACAGAATGATTCCAACTATTTACAGGACAGAGATGACGTCTTCATGCAAAGATACCATCTGTCAAGATTGAATTTGAATGGGGAATCATGTTCTCGACCTGGTAATTTGCTATGTTATTTATACGCAACGCAATGGTGTTCAATGGAAAAGTAGATTCAAGGGCCTTGTTTATAAATAGTGCTGCTATTACTCGAATAAATACAGTATAAAAGATAATTTTTTGCCAGAGAGTCACCTTACACCTCTATTAACCACTACTGTCCCACCAGGTTGTCACCGCATGCAGTCTTGACTACAATAATTTCTGGTTTTGTGTTTAAAATTGTATTATATTCACCCACTTCTCCCCCTTATGTGTAATGCATCATCGGACCCTTAAAGGGCAAGTCCTCTCAATTCCTAAGATTTCTGGATAATAATCGAGTGATTCTGAATTAAAAAGCACTAATAAAAGGCACTATGTCATTTGCTTCGCGAAAAATGGGATATATATTTTTTAATTTAATTTTAAACACGAGTGGAAATCGAAATCAAAACTTCGGCTCCGTCCGGCAACATTGGCCTCGGGCCGCCAAGAACATGGCCATTACGTGGTATGAGATGTCACGTGTGATCCTCGGCCCAACGACGGGCGGGATTGGGGCAGGCCACTGTGGGGTGGGCGTGTGCCAGGCGGAAGTGTCGTCTGCACTGCACTCTTCACCACGTTTTGGTGTCTACGACGATCGACAACTTCTGCACAACTGCAGCATAAGTCTGCGTGCGTGGTGTCCGTAATGTGAACGAAACTCCAAAAGGCAATAATCACAAACGGTGAGACGACGACGGCGGTTGTGACGCGGAAGACGGCGGTAATGGCGGGACTACGGCGGGCGGCCAATGGACTCCCCAGAAGCGCGCTGCGCAGGCGTGTTACGCCAACCACAAGGACACCGCTGAGCGCCAAGAAGTAACGTTGCTGACGTCATGCGGTGCGCTCGCCCGGAGAAGTAAAAACAAGCAAAATGGGGCAATGGTGATGACACTAGCTAAATGATGGCTACGCCCATGCCGTAGCCTTGACTGCGCTGTTGGTTGTGCCTGAATTCGCGTGCTTGAATCAGCCGATTTCGGCAATTTGGCGAGTCGAAAAGTTTGCCGAACCTTTTAAAAAACATTTAGACAGAACTGCGCTGTAATATTTGACGTGTGGTCCTCCTAGGTGATACTGAAGATGACTGCATTGTATTTTCCGAAACGAAGAATGAAGCGGAGTTGCTTTATAAGGAGAAATAAATAAAATGAAAGCATGGAGAACTGTATCCTGCCAACTTAGTGAATTTTCCACCTTGAAGAGACAGTTCGTACGATGGACTTCAATTATAGGACAATGCTGCGAGAGAGAGCACAAATCGGTGCAAGTTTTAGATGCCACGTGGCCAACTTTGCCCCACCTGGTTCCGACCGTGTGAGCCACTTGTCCATCTGTGTGACGTCTGGCTCACAGGCATTGTAGAAGATGTGGTAGTTCTGGATGACGCCGTTGGGAAACTCGGGGGCCTGCCAGTGGACCCGGATGGAGCCGAGGTCCAGAGGCGCCCAGGTGATGTCCCTCGGGGCTGTGGGCTCTGAGCAGGACACGACGGAGAGACAAGTTGAATTTTTTTAAAAATGCTTAAAGGGGACAGGGTTTGTCACTTAATGGTTTTTAAGTACCAGATTATACTGGATCTGCTGGAGACAAAAATAGAGCCAAGTGAGTGGTTGTCTACAGCCCAATTTACAACAGCTAAGCCAGCCAAACACAACCGATTGAAATGTAGATTGTATATTATGTCCACGACCAACTCTATAATGGGGCGACCAGCTCACCTTCTCCTGCCCCAGCGCGCCACTTTTTGTTTTGCTTGTTCAGTTCTTTTTTAGTTTGCTTAGTTCCCGCCGCTCCCGCTGGCGCTGCTGTGTAGCACGCTCGGGAAGCCTGGAAAGGCTAATTCAGGCTGCCTTTTGGCCTGTGCGTGCGTGGACGCATGGTTTTTCTGGCTGTAAAATAGCTCTACATTAATGGTAAAGTGGCACTCAACGACGAGCTCTGATGGTCTACTGCTGTGTGCTGCTGTGCAAGTCGAGCACGCGGACTTCGACGGGAGTCGCCTTCCACGAGTTCCCGGTGGCGGAGATCTGGAACGACTGGCTGAAGAAGATCTCTCGCCAATTATAGAAGGCGAATCAGTTACCCACCAAACTATGAACCATAAAGAGAAAATAGGTTCTCTTCATGTTCATACCACAAAATAGGTTGTGGTACATATACGTTTACAGCATCATCTTTTCCACGCCGTGTCATGAATGTTGGACGCTGCACCTTCCTCATTTTGAGCGTTTAGTTAACTATGCAGTGATGCTGATATATCTACGTACTGGATTAGCCATCATTTATTGGAAGGAATAATGTTCACGTGTTAATGTTCGGAGCTCGCGAATTTCAGATGACGCAGAACTTGCTGACAGGGTGTATATTTTAATTATGAGCATGTAAGACGTCGTTTGTTTATCTGATACTGCTTACTGTATTCGTTACTGTTTTCGAGTCAGTGCGTCACTAATAACGAAGTTAGTTGTATCTGTCCTACTGAAAATAAAAGAATAACAGTAAACATACAGCTTGTCTATGTGTCTCCTATTTTAACCGTTATGAGTCTGCCTACTTTAATGGTCCATGTTAAACATGTTTAAGCTTTTGCCTTTCCTACAGCATTATTTCAAAAGAATGAATATATGTTTTCTTCAAGTATACAATAGTATGTTCATTACTGGCCTGGCAAAATAAAAATTATGAGCGGACAAGAGCCATATTCAGAAACCGAAACTAATATCTTTTTATTGAAATTTGGAGTGTTTCTGGGTGTGCATGTCCACAAAAGGTATCAAACTGAAGCCGGTTGTATTAAGTGAGGAAAAAACACAGTACGTGTTGCTGTGTTATAGGGCTCAAAGCAATACTGATAAGCAAACACTCCCATTTGTCTCCGTTTGCTTCAGATGAACTTAGCTCTTCTCAAAGGAAAAAAAAAAAAGAAATAAATCAATTAATAGACCGGCAATGGAAAGCGCTGTCACTATACTCTGTTTACAGAACATGTCAAGAAAGCTCTGCGATTGTCGATAGAAAAGGTTACAATCGATCAAACTTGCGGGTTATATCAACACAACCGCCGTCCGTCGCGTGTGACCGCGCGCACATTTGGAGATGATACGCGGCGGCGCCTGGCGGATTTCGCTGTCCCCAGCCGAGGTCACGTGGTATTTTTCGGTACACACGCTCCCGTAGAAAGGGGAGAGCCGACCTGGTCGCCCTTATAGACCATTCCATTTAGTGCTCTCTGGGCGGCACCATTTTGTTCGACAGCAGCGCCCTCTCCATACACCCGGGAAATTCAGCATGTTCGGCGGAGTAAAACGAGAGAGAGGGCACGCGCCCGACTCCGCTAGCAGATGACAAACCTGGAGGTTGACATTCTCCATCTTTGGGCTGTATCAGCGGGCTGTACGGAACATCGAACTCTCGCTCGTGGCTGCCCTTGTGAAGCGGTTCGCGTTCTTAGAATAGTTATGGCTACTCCAAAATCAGCCTAGAGCTCTCTGTTGTTCTATTTCGGTAAATGATCAACTAGCATATCTTTTTTCCGTTACTTAAATAGCAGTTGAGTCAGCCGGCAGTACTACCCTCAACTACTGCGTGTATTGCAGCAGGAGAGCATGTTTTTATTTATTGTTTCAGACTTCCACTCATGGTCGCTAAAGGCCTACACCAGAACAAACTTTGTATAGTAGAAAAGGTACAGCAACCGGATTTACTTTTTGCCGGAGAGACCGGCCGATCTGACACAGTTTTCCCCTTTTTCTTTTTATTTGCACACAGGTAACGGCGCAATTGAACCCTGTTAGTCTTTTTATCTAGCATAGTATTGCACAATAACTGGCATACCAAAATCTGTGCATCTGCGCTTGAAATTTCCAAAATAACCCGACTTTAAACAGTTTGTACGCCAGCCGGATGCTAGGTACAGCCCACTCTGCAGAGCAGACGACATGCGGGTGAGAGGGGGAGGGCATTTTTTTCTCTTTTGACCCTCTCTGCTATGACCCTAATGGAACAGTCTATAGATTATGTCACTACCCCCCTAAGTGTCACATATACCCATTTATATTTTGCCATCTTTTAAAGCGTGTATTACCTTGTCAGTTGATAAACCGTTGACTTCTTAACCCTTTGGGGTCATTTGTCAAGTATCTCCCGACAAATAAATATTCCACTTTCTGGACATATGTCGGGGCTTCTGCGACAGGCCCATTTCTCTTTCGTGGTCGAGTGTCGGGCACCTCCCAACAATTTTGAACTAGTGCCATCTCTTACCGGGTATGTAAACTATGCATAGTTACTTTCTTGTCCCTCCAAGAGGTACTGTAAGAGGCGCAACACATCTATTTTTTTGATAGATGCGTGGCTGGGCATTTTGCGCATGCTTTTGGGTGTTCAACATAGCCAACTTTACCCCGTCCGTGTTTTACGGACAGGCCTGTGACTCAAGTAACAGTGAGATGATTTCAGATTACAATCTCAAGGAAGCTTCTGAGATATCCTGCGATGAACCTTCAAAGAGTGACGGTGAGAGAATAGAAAGTGGGGAGAAAAGAGGCACAGACGCCGTCGATCCCCCAAGCTAAACATCCTACTTAACCACCGGAAAGAGTTGAGCACGTTGGTTACACATATTTAGGAGACACCAGCTGAACAACCCAAGCACACAAATGCGTCTCTCTCGTCCTTCTTACATTTGTGTGCTTGGGTTGTTCAGCTGGTGTCTCCTAAATATCCTACTTAAACACAGATCAAAATTTCGAGATTCACCGTTTTACGGTTCAAAATTTAAGTCCCCAAGCCGCGCAACCTAAACCCACAAGTGAGCTGGAACACTAAGAGTGTTTTTTCGCTGACGCTTTGTTGACCAATACAGTTAACGAAACACAATGCTATACCAAAAAGAAAATCACAAAGCTGGGGGTACCGACGAAACCACTATGTTGTGGGGATTGTGATCCCTCAACATTCTGTCGCGTCAGCGTTTTGGCGCGCCGTGGCGGCCGCGCTGGCGTAGCGAGAGGTGGCGCTGCTTACCACTGTGAGTGGCTTCCTCCTCTCCCCCCTTGGGGCGATTTCCGTAACGAACCCCCGCACAAAGGAGATCGACGTGTCGCTCCTTGATTGGCCACTTCGCCCCCACCGTTATCTTAAAACCAGCGGACAGCAGTCTCGCTTCTGTCTTCTTCCTGGGATTCGGCGGCGGCGACAACGGGGACCCTTCCGGCGCACCGGTGAGCGTTTACCCCGTCCTTTGTACATTTGTGAACGACCGTTCGGCCGTGGGCGATCTCCACACCAACGGCGTTCACCAGCTTATAGCCGCTGTGTTGTTGTTATTTTGTTTCATTGTAAATAAACAGTTTATCACCGTTACCAACGTGACTGGTATCTCATTGCGCTCGACGAGCAGCATGCCACGCGAGTGCGAACCCGCTTCACGGTAGAGCGTCTCGCCGCGAACGTGGTACTCCCAAAGGCAGTGGCCCCAAGGAGAACCACAATGTTTACAAACTAGATGGAGTCAAGAGCAAAGACTATGCAAGCTGCAGTGAGAAAAAAGTCAAAGGACAAAGATATGAAACTGTTTTCTAGAGTGAAACCTGCACTTGATGTCCTGGCTTGCACCCCGGCATTTGCTTCGGAAAGTATCATACGCTGTGCAAATGCTGCAAGTATAGTCAATTAATTGAAATGAAAACATTCTGGAAAATAGAGTTACTTTAAACTGACATAATGATCACAGTAGTACAGCGATGTCTCAGTTATATTGACTCCTCCATTCCCCCAAAAAATCGTCCATAATGTGAGTTGTGCATATTAACCAGACAAAAATGCATGTATTTTCCCAGTTTGTCCCCAAAAATGGTGTCCATATAGCGCGGTATCCATATTAACGAGACATAACTGTATATTAGAGAGTTTAATTTAAAGGGACAATGAAAACGATTGGAATTAATTTTTTTAAATGGAGTATTTAGGCTTCTTGGGAACCTAGCACGCAGCCCAATTTTTCGTAGACATTTGTGACGCGTATTTCTGTGCCTACAAAAAAACTGAAAAAACCAATACTGAACTACCTCCATTCTCATTTCTGGGCCTCCGAAAACGGAGGTGACATAGGGAGTGACGCCAAGTGTGAATAGTTGGTATCGGTAGCATTTACGAGATCGAGGCTCTGGTCACCGCGGTGGGTTATAGCACCGCGGAGGTGCGGCCCTTTCGTCGGATCTGTCAACATGGACGACAATGCCGCTCTCGCGAGCGAGTTCGAGCTTCCGTTCGGTGACGTAACACCAATGGAACGGGAGAACCGTACGTGCGTAGCAGCCTCCGCCATCACCGATGGTGACCGCCCCAACAAACCGCCCAGTCGGCAACGAGTGGCCCACAGGCTCGGCGTCGGCGTGTTGCCGGAGGACAGGGACACGGGGGGGATACCGAGGGGAAAGCGGCAGCAACTCGTTCCGGGAACCAGTTCCTCCACAGGGAACACTCCCGAAGAAGGACAAAATACACAGCACCATTTACTTTTCACCACAGTCGGACGTCCTCTCTTTTCGTCGTCAAAGAACACAAACAGCAACCTACATGTGAAAACTAGCGTCGCCCGAACGATTACCGGTCTTCAGTCGACCGTTTTAACAGCCATCTAAAGCGCACAAATTAGACATGACTACCATTGTGCAGAATCTTTCGAGTACCGTGTTCCCAAAGTAGACACGACACCGACATCCGAAACCAAAACCAAACGTCTCCAGCTTATCCCGTGCTGTGTTCTTTTTTTTATTTATTTTGTTTGCCCATAGTTGCTTGTTGCCCGTTTTGCGTCCAGCGCAGCAAAGAGAAAAATAGTTATGCTATTTTATTTACGGCTTAGTAATCGTTTCCGGTCCCATTTATACTTTTCATGGTTATTCAAGCAGAATTTAGAACAGTATTCATAAAAATCGCACACCAAAACGTCCCTCGTTTTAACCGATCGCTGACTCTCTTGTGACGTCAGGCTTCTAGGAACCGCAACGTTGCGCGAACTCCGCTTCTCCTGACTTCACTCTCGCGGCGTCACTGCAGTTGATCCCGGTACGATTATTACCGCAACTGTTTAATTGATTTGCGCGGCACACAAGCGCCGGTTTCGACTAAAATTTGGGCAATGTTGCCTGGGACGTGCCTGGAACCCAGTTTAATCGCAAAAAAAATATCCGAAATTGCCTTCATTGTCCCCTTAATGTCAATCACTGCTTTGATAGTTTTTCTCTTAAATTAGTTCTGACCAGAGGGGCCTATTAGGGGGAAAACCCACATGACCCCAAAAGGTTAAGTTAATAAATGCGACAGCATTTCTTTTGGCAGCCCCTAACCCAACCCAACCCAACCCAACCCAACCCAGACCAGCCCAGCCCAGCACAGCCCAACCCCCCACTCCCCCCAAAATTCTGCTTCATAACACGAAACAAATGTGCACACACAAGATAGTGGTAGGTGGCTATTTTACAGCGAAGCTGTTTATAGCTAGGGTTCCGTAGATTTTTCGTGTGCAGCAACTAAAAACTTCACGCTCGCACCGCCGCACGTGCACGCCTTCCTCGTATGAAAGATTTAAAGTAAATAACCAAAATAAAGCGCTGATGAACGCACGTGCAAGATGCCATTTGTTCTAGGCTTTCGCTTTAGAACAGTTACAGCTGCAGATGCCGGCATGTACGTGGCACGTGGAATACCATTCCCTGCATTCTCCTTGATGCTTGGGTAATTTAGCAATAGGTCTATTCAGTAGATTAGTTATCAATAGGTACCATTTTCAAGATCATTAGACTCTCAGGTGGATAATAAAGGTTTCTCAAAGATTTGCTGCTGTGCGACCCGCGTCTGCCATGTTTGCACTCGCACTGCCCTCTCTTTGTCGTCGTTCCAAGCGCTTGCGTGCCTCCTTTCCTTCCGCTCTCCCGGGGTGGTTGTCCTGTTGCGCGTGTCTAGTTTCCTCCGGCTCCTCGGGGCGCGTCTGTGTCGTGTGCTAAACAGCTTCGCTGGTCACCCACCTTCACAGAGTGGAATGGCTCATGATTTTTTAGAAGACAGAACAAGGCTGTGTAGGTCCCCCAAAGGAACTGAACCCAGGACTTCAAGATTGTGAGCCCAACACTCAATCGCTGCATCAAAGCTTGCGAAGCGGTAGCTATTAAACAATATAACATTTCGTGTGCCATTTGACACTGCGGAACGTGCAAGTGGCACCAATGGGTTGCTCCGACTCCACGAGTGATCAAGCAGTGAAGCCACAATCTAACGAAGAAGCTTGCGCTTTAAGCACCGCTCCACTTTCACACATAAACACCTGAAAAAAAGTTTGCATGCGAATGTAAGCACCCCCCTCCCAACAAGAAATTTGAGATCGGAGATGCCGGTATCGCCGAGTGCCGGAGTCGCGAACGGCCGGTGGCGCTTGGTTTCAACGTCAGTTAATAGATGGCAGCACATACCGCCATTTTCTACTTTCGCATCCATGCAGGTTGCGAAAGGGGGTGCGTTGCCGTACCCTCTATCGAAGATGTTTTGTCCGTTTGGTCTCCTTGCACTTGTTGCAGTCGGTTGTTCAGTCTGTTAAGCCTATTTGCACGCGTTGGCCTCGCGATCGTATTCCATTCACTGTGTGCACGTGGTTTGCGGAAGTCGTCCATCATGAATGCGAGGAGAACTTCATACATATTTAAGTTCAAGAAAACGGTTATTTCTTACGCGGAAGACAACGGAAATCACGGCGCTGCTGAACAGTTCAGAGTGCGGTGTTCCGCACAAGCCGAGGCTCGATGGAGCGGTTGATGAAGAGGAACGGTTTCTCTTTGAGATGATTCAATATAAGCAGTAATTCTATATATCTGTGTTCCATATAATGAGGTTTGACTGTATTTTTCTCAGTTTGCCGAATTTTTTCTTTCCTTTGCCTGGCTGGCTCCCCACCCTCGCGTCTGGCCCCCGCCGTGTCGGCTTCATGACAACTCGGCCCTCCGACTCAAAAGGTTGCCGACCCCTGCTCTAAGTGAAAAAAACAGGCAGACAGACAATAGCTCATAGCAATCCGAGTGAAGCAAGAAAACTCACTGTCTTCACTTGTCTTGCATTCAATGAGTTGACTGAAGTGGCTCATGTGACTGTCCGCTCCGTGAGACTTCACCGCAAATCCGTAAAGAGTGGACGGCTGCAAGTCTGCCACAACCACTTCGGTCTTGGTGCTTTGCAGAAGGACAAAGAAAGAAACACAGCAATTAGGTGAAACCAAAATGAAAATGTAATTTAATTTCGGTTTTCAATTTATTGTGTTTATAAAAATGTAAACTGTAGTGACACAATTGCTTAACATGCAAGAACTACTGAGTCAGAAGTTTCGTTTCCAATTTTGTGTGACTCAAAGAACAACTAATTATTAGTTTTCTCCTTTGGAAAGCTTGCTGATGGGGTTTCCCAACCCTCGGTAATAATGTCAGTACTTTAAGGTGCAATGGGGTGTATTCACTGACCACCATTTCTGCATTAATTGTTTGGAGAATAGATGCTAAGCTACAGCTGCCACCACATCCATTTCACAACATCAAAGATGATGTACTTGACAGGTAATAAGTGTGCGAATATTCTAAAATTTGAATACTTCACGAATAGTGCTTGAAATTTGATTTGATTCGCATCTTGGGGTTGTCCTCCTGGGCCATCCACTTGTTGTAGAAGGCCCCGACGCGGTCCTTGAAGGGCTTATTAAGAACCAAGTCAAGGGGTTGAAAAATGGACGTCATAAAAAAATCAACACCATCAGTACTACCTATGAACAATAAAATCAGTATCATCAGCACCACCAGAGCTTTGCCCCAATCAACATCATTCATCACGTGGAGATGCCTACATTTTTTTCTCTAGCTGTGCATCATTATCATCATCATTGTTGCTACCATTTTTGCTTTGTTCATTCTCATTTCATCTCGATCTCGTCTCAGTGAATCGTGTTTTTGGACTAAGCTGGCTTGGACTTGCCCCATCTGTTCTTGTGCCGCAACGATGTGTCACTAGGAGCACAGAAAGTTCTCGACCATAACGCTAGAAAAGAAGGCAGTGATTCTCAAGCTAATAAAAAGTTGCCAAATGAAAATGGAGGCGTAATCTGAAAAAAAGCATGCAGGCGTAACTTGAAGCAAGGCACTATTAACGGCTTTTTTAAGCCCGCTTGGACATAATAATGGAAAGTTTTTAATCTGCTGATTTTTCAGACTGCTTTATTGTTCTGACATTTCTTCGGTCCCTGCAAAGTGTGAAAACTCAGTCGGTGACTGTATTGGTGTTTTTAATATTCTTCTGCAGTGATGCTCGCTGGCTTAGGCGTCTGTTACAGACAGGAATGCTTGCGAATAAAAGTAGTATTTTCTCCAAATCGGCACTGTCATCTACAAAGTTGGAAGCTGGCCGATTTGATATTGCTTTACTTTGCTGTAAAAACCACGCCCAAACCAGCAGCCCGGCAGAAGTGCAATACAGCAATATTGTGCGTGATGTCAATCCAGAACACGCGACAAAACGTGTTTATCCACTGCAGAACATAATAATTTGCTTAATGCAAGGGGAGGGAAGACAAATTAATACGTAATTTCACTGAGACGGCTGGTGGTGCTTCGTTTATGAAGTGCAGGGGCAGCGCACCATCACTTGCTACGGCAGCGCCTCCGCACTGCAGTAGCATGCAACGAGCATAGGCAAGATGCACAGCGCACCTGCTATTTGCACCACTTTGTTATCAAGGCGAGCGTGACGCGAGGGCGAAGTTCCCCCTCGCTCTCAAAAATCTCGTAGCCAGCAAGCGGCGACGATAAGACGAAAAGACACGGGAGTGAGCCTGCTCCGGCCATGCGCGGAGGGCTCTAAACATTTGAAAAAGACTGTATATAAACATGCAGACCTCTGAAAGCTGCTTTGGCTGCATCAACACTCGTGCAAAGACAGAGACTCCAAAGGGGGCAAGGAAGTTAGTGTACCAACCGAGGCTAGCCAAAAGCACCTTTTTGAGTGGGGCCTTCCTACCTCGGAATGTACTGCACCATGGAGGAGTTGTGGACGCTTTTGGGGCGCACGGCACTGTAGCGCACAGTGTAGTAGCTGATGTTCTGTGCTGGCACGGGGGCCCTCCAGGAGAGGTGGATGGAGCGGGAGGATGTGGGTTCCGCTTCCAGACCGCCCGGAGGGTCTGCATTGTGTGGCAAAACGTGAGGCAAGAAGACTCAAAATGGGCTGTAGAACAAGCAAGCAATGGAGAAACCTGGCATGACATTAGAATCTAAACCTATCGACATCATTATGAGAACAGTTTCTAAGTAGCCTGTCCATTCAATTACCAAAGCTGCGGGCAGATAGGGCTAATACACTTTAAAATGCCCCACTATGCTCATTCTCAAAGACCATAACTTCCATGAGCTCAAACTGTTCTCTTATAAAATTTGTTGACATTTGTTTGTTAAAAGCATTTGGAAATAGAAAACTGGAGATAAAAACTGTCATATTCATTTCAAGGTTTAAATCGAAAGCAGTCGAAGCAGGGAAGCGGAAAATCAGAGCTCACCAATGTCTCCTTCTGCAGTGAGATTCTCTGGGTGGGTCAGCACCGTTTGCACTGCTTCTTGTCCATCCCCAAAGTTGCTGAAGCACAGCACGTGCACCTCATACCAAGTTTGGGGTTCTGAAAAAGCAGAAGTCATTTTCTTATCTTCTTTTCCAGTTATATATGAAACTCCTTGCAGTGAAAAACCTTGGTACTAATACCTTGAAGTCGGCTGAGCTTTGAATCAGGGGTGATCCTAAAATTTGCTCGTTTGAACCAGTGAATACTACAGCATTGGCTCATTGGCACAGAGTATTTATCTTGGAATGGGAGCTCGTAGATAACTAAAACCTGCCGTAAAATACCGCGAAAGCACCCACTATGTTCAAGTTATATGTTAAGTGCCCAATTTGATCGGACAAGCGCCCATGTCTAGATTAATCCAGTTTTCAGCGAAAGGAAAGTAGGTGCTCACCCGGTATTTTACGGTATGTGCAAATCTACCAATACAGGCATGGAACTCAAGAAATGTACTTGGGAGCAGCCACGGGAGCAGCTGATACAGCTTTTTTGCAGCAGGTTGGGAGGAGCTAAAACTACATTCTGGAGTAGGAGCAGCTCAGATCAGTTTTCATTGCACTAGCTTGTGTCTTAGACAAGCAGAGGAGCAATTTCAATTGTGCTTAGCAGCACAGATGAACATTAATGGTTAGGAACCAAGGTAGATGGGATAACAGTGTAACATACGCAAAAACTTGAAACTTTCCGAGCCTTAATGAGAATCAAAAAGCAAGTACCACATGTTTCTGAAGACAGTGTCCTTCATATTTTCTGAGTGGCTTTCAGCTGATCAAAATGCAAGCCAGCACTGCTTATCGCACAACCCACACGCGCTTGACATAATAATTATATGTGCGAACCCCGTGACGTGCGTAAGCAACAGACGTGACGTGACGTGACATGCGTAAGCAATGGCGTGGAGGATCAAGGCAACAAATTTTGAGTTTATCCTATTGTGCAACTCAATATCGCAACAAATTTCGAGTTTATCCTGTTGTGCAACTCAATTTCGAAGCAGCAGACTACGATTAACGGAGTTATCATATTCGAAGCGATAAGCAGAAGCATGGTCAAAGTATGTTTCAGATCAGACCGCGTTTCAGATCCATCAAATCGCGATTTATCTTGCAGGAATATGGTTCTAACTTTCAACGATAAAGTACCAAAAATGAATCTTTTGCTCATTTGTTTTCAACTGGCCGACGTCCGGATCCCGGGCAGCAAAGCCTCAAGCAATCTAACGCTTGACAACTCGATCTCACCTCGGCCGACTTGCTCAACTGCTTATTGTTGAAGAATAACAATCCAGTCGCAGGTGGTGTAGCCCTTGGAATCCGACCCCCGAGTTTTTTCACGCGCTTCTGACTTGGGATACGCAGGAAGAATAAACAGAACAAAGCATTGCAAGGCCGACCAAGCTAAACGCACTCTTTGTTGCCAATCGAGTAGATAGAAACCGAAACCAAGAGGAAATACGATTTGTTTTGCGCGCGTTTTGCGATTTGGTGCATAATGGTGCGATATATTGACAGTGGCGCAGTTTTCGCAACATGGCACAGGATGGTGCAGACAAATGCATCTGGCACAAAATGGCGCAAATGGTGCAGCCGTTCTATGACCCCTGTACTGATAAGGTGTAAGAGCATCATCAACCTAAAAGACTGAGTTACCCACTAAACGATGATATGTGGCAGTGGCCCCGAAAGTCCCGCCTACTCAGACCATATGTTAAATAAAGAAACCCTCCCCTGTGCCATGTCCAAACAAGTTTATTCCATTGTGCTTCACCAGCAGCAGACATTTGCACATTCATTTTATGCACAAAAGTGTCTGTGTGGCAAAGCACAGTGGACAAAACTTGCTCAGACTCCTGTGGAATTGATGTAATTTGGAGACAGGGGTGGGTAGGGGGGTGAGCGAGTTTTTCTTTTTAACATGTGGTATGAAACTTAAAATTTCAGCTACATTCGAGACTTCATGCATTCAAGTCCCCCTTCTTGTGTCTGTTCTCCATTTGAGAGTTTTTGTAGTGCTGTGCCAATATTCAAAATTTAGAATAGTAGTTCTGAATAATACACTATCCAATATTCGCGGCGAACCGCCTCATCCTTGAGGGTGAGCGGGCAAATGCGGAAAAAGATTGTATCGGCCGTTTTGCCAGAAGTAGCGAGGAGTGTCGTTTGCAACTTCTGGCAACTTTTGCGCCATAATCGTGATCTTCGCGAGGAAATGATTGTTGCTAGCCACAGAACACTATCACGAAGAAAGGGAATGCTTGAATATGTTTTGTTCTAGATACAAGTCAGAAGTATATATGAAAGAGAGAGATGGAGATAGAGGGGAAGAGAGAGGAACATATATTGTCGCAGGACAAGAGAGTTAAACAAAGTTACCAGTGGCCAATGGCTGCATGATCTTTTTTCGGATCACAAGTGCGTAATATGACACCTCTTTGTATGCAGTAGTTTTCCTCACTTTTACTGTGTGAACGATTGCTATAGTTATCAATGGACTCATCTGAATAAACATATATAAAAGATGTGTGTCAGTTTCATGAAACTTGAACTCAGAGTCACTTCTTGTATAGGACACTGGTAAGAGTAGGCTTTGAAAAAGGACCCCACTTTTGGGAGTTATGTCTTCTTTCTCAATCCTATAATGCAAGATGTTTTCATAGAAATGACTGCTGAAAAAAAAGTATGAAAGGGTACCCAAATTTAAAAAAAAATCGAAGGTGGTGTTATTTTTTTATTTGCATAGAAATTTTTGGTTGATTGATTTTTTTCCAATTGTTTCCCTACATATATAACGACTACCGTATCACTGACCTATCTAACATATATATTAAATAATAGCCATATATAAGTAGAACACTCTCTAAAAAGTATTTGATGGTGATTAAATGATTTCATGAGATACAGGTCTCCAAATTTTGCCGTTTGTTGTTTGAGCAGGCATGTTTGGCAATTTTTAGAAAAAGAAATAAAATGTAAAAAATTATTATTGCTATAGGCTCCTTGCACTGACGTCACATCGCACACTTTTGAACACCAAGTAAAAGGAGGAGAGGGAAGCTGCTTTTGTAAGAATTTTGAGTGCCAGGTTAAGCTTCTATAATCTTCTGTGAGGAGAATAGCGACACCCGTGCAAATCCGGGAGGCTCCTGATAAGAGGGGAGCTCCTTCTTTCCCTTTTCTCTGGAGGGTATCGGAAATGATGTCATGTGCAAGCCATGTATATATTACAAGCAAGCTACACCCATAGTAAAAAGTATTAGAATTCTCCTAATTTTATCGTTTTAGTTATTCACTTTCAATTGTGCCCCCTCCATCAGTGTGCGTTAATGCAACTGTTCACCTCTTCATGCCTTATGACTTTTCCTGTCCCCAAATTTTTTTTCTTGTCAAAACTAAGCGTGGATTCGTTTATACCAGACACTAGACAATGGCATATGAAAACATCAGTTGATTTAAAAATGTCGACCAATCACCCTCTGGTCGATCTTATTTGAAATCACCCAGCCCGCCTAGACGTAAAAAAGGCAAGTTTTTTAATCTGCTGATTTTCCAGACTGCTCTATCATTAGGGCATTTTTTCGGTCCCTGCGAAGCCAGAAAAATCGGTCGGCGACTGTATTAATATTTTTTTAATTAAGAGATGCGACTCCCAAAAGATACACATAAATTCTGGGAGAACTTTGTCCCATCACACATCACACTATATCTCAAATTATTTTGTGGGTGTTAACCTTGATCAAACACCCTTCTAGATGTTCCACTGATACCACTCCAATCCAAAGTTGGCCACTCAAAGCAAAAAGCCGTCCTTGTCGAGGTGGCATAGTGCATGTGGCCCCTTGGTCGAAATAAACCTACAGCACACGCTGCCTGCCTAAACGTTATAAGAGACCCCAATGTGGCCACACTCACTGAGGTCATACAGGACGTAGGAGAAGCTGGAGTTGGGCAGTACTATGGGCTCGGTCATGAGGCTGCCCTGCTCTCGCAGCCGCAGCTTGAAGCCGGAGATGGCGCTCTTCTCCTCTGGCAGAAGGGACCACCTGGCCTCCAGGGTTGTGCTGTTCACCACACTCAGGTACAGGGAGGGAGGCAGGGGCACTGCATCGGCAAATGGCGGGACAAGGAAAGGAACATGGCCTTTAAGAAGAGACAAGTCAACAGTACCCTCTCTGGTATAAGCAGTACTGTAGGTTGAGTATGAATTCATGAGGATGACCTAAAAACATAACACCCAGGGTAAGAAAAAAAACAAAAAAAACACTAAGTAGGCAAAAGACAACTAGACAAGGCATTAAAAGGGCAACGCTGCCTGCAATGAAGCAGCACCTAAACAAAAGCTGGCCACTGATATACATAGGATGAAGTAATCAATTACAAGCACTACTTTACCACCAATGTTTAGAAAAAATTAATTTATTGTATCATTACTGATTCAACTTTCCATTAAAATTATAAAAGAATACCGCGCTTCCGCCCATTCCACGCTAAGCGCCCATTCCCAAATTCACAAGATCTGAGAATATATGCACAGTACATAGATATGTAAAATAGATGGCCGGACGAGCGCCCATCCCCTTTTTTTAACGATTATCTCTAAATTTTGAGTGGGCACCTGCCTGGTATTTTACGGTAAGTCCTTTAAGGGGGGACATGGGCCTGAGCTTCAAAATGTTTTGAAAAAATTCATTTTTCAATTTTGAGGTTTTCAGTTTTAGAAACTAATTATGTACCCTTACACTAAATTTCATAACCATGCGCCAAATAGTTATGTTGATATAAAATATTTTCAGCACATTGTGAGGCAGTAACAAAGTAAAGGAGTTCAATGTTTGAATGCATTTTTCTCAGTTTCACTTTTTGCTGCAAATTTCATACGGAGGAATCTTTTGTTTGAAGGTAAAATTATTTTGATATCACAATCAAGATGTTTCTTAACTGAAATTTACTGGGGAATCGGGCTATCTACTTTATTTTGTTTTACATTAAAGTCCTCATTAAGAAAAAACTATGTTTTCAAAAATTGACATTGGACAGATATGCATCTCATATTTTGAGGTAATCACTCTTCCTGAATTATTTACATTTAAGTTATAAAAACTAGATAGCCCGAAGTCCCACATCCCCCACTTTATACTCAAGCACTTAAAATTGTGCCTAATAGCTTCCTTTGCATATCCTAGATTTCTTAACAAAGAGTGATGCATCTTCTTATGCAGGTATGTAAAGTTGCCCTAGAGAGCTGAAAGTTTGCACAGTACACCTACATCTGAAGTTAAATCTCCCCTGCTAATTTCATTCTGATCACTTGAGTAGTTCAAAAGTTCAACCTCTAGCCAGTGTCCCTTAAGGGGAGGCACTCCCTTAAAGGGTCTACTTTTTAAGTATTTGCGCCAGGTCAATGAAATTTTGAGACTATATTAAACATAAAAACTCTGAAGTTAAATCTCCCCTGCTAATTTCATTTTGATCACTTAAGTAGTTCAAAAGTTCAACCTCTAGCCAGTGTCCCTTAAGGGGAGGCACTCCCTTAAAGGGTCTACTTTTTAAGTATTTGCGCCAGGTCAATGAAATTTTGAGACTATATTAAACATAAAAACTTAAGAGGCTACACCAACTTCGAACCCAAAAGGTCTATTTTTTGGCAAGTTAAGCCTTATTTGTTGAAAACATTTACATGTAGCAGCTAGTGCCAAAGGAAAAAACTACTGTCTGAAAATATGAATGTAATATGCCACAATTTTTTTGTTTGGATATACCGCTGAATGACAAAACTAATCGGCAGTAGGCTTGAAATAATTTTCAAGGCCATATTTTACGTAAAAGGTGTAGAGCCCATCCACTTCACGTAAAGATAGAGAATAGGGGACCAGCAAAGCTGGCCCTCCACATTCACGTGAACCTTGAGTATGATTCCTAACGGACGACGTCTAGGACGACCTCGAAAACGATGCCTAGAGGACGACGTCTAGGACAACCTCAAAGACGACTTCTATGACGACCTCAAGGTCGTCCTCGAGGTCCTCCTTTGCGACATGGTTGACGCAGTCCTCGTTTTTATTTCCTTGTCGTAGAGCTCAAGACCAGCCTTGGTAAAGGCCTTGCAGCCACCATCACACAGCATAGTGGTGTACTGCATACTGTGTTTTTCGAGTGAACGGCCAAAAATAACAGTGGCTGCCTTCACTTCCATGGCACTGGCAGACCCATTGAAGTTCTTCTGGTAGCTGGGACGGTGGTCTTCCATCCATTCCGTGTACCCCTCTGTGCCTCCCTTTGGCCCCTGGGTGCACATATGGCAGTAGTTGCTGTGGACCCTGAAGTCCAGCACAAGACCACTTTCAAGTTCGATTGTGACACCAACACCGAAGTGGGACGTGTGGCCGTGTTTGTGCCAGGCTCCGTCGTATGCGACGCACACGTCTAGGAGTTTCCCGTCTTTGACTTTCTTCATTTTTCGCACCGACTGCGCAGCGGTCCTCATCACACTGCCGGTGGCTGTTATGGCTGCATCATGTACCTTCGCGGCAACTTTCTGGGACGATACAGATCCGCGGCAGTATATTTATCTTGGTAAAAAGATTTGTGAATTTCGTGAAGCTCACGCCACAGTCGCGTGACGAGAGACCGATGCACATGCCGAGATCTTTCTGTTGCGTGTCGCCAATACTCACCAAGTGTGCAGCTCTCGCGACTTCTCCACAAGTTGGGCACAGGACAACAAACGCAAGGTTGACGCCCTTCCCGGTCTCTCTCCGACAGAGAGAAGATCCCCTGCATTCAGGGCACAGCTAAGCACTCACTAAAGCTTCGATGCAGGACATGCCAAGCAAGTGGTAGCCGTCGAGCTCTTCGTTTTCAGTTAGGCCTAGCTGCTTCTTGGGATCGTTGGGCTCTGAACATTCCGTGGGCGCCTTTCATTGCATCATCACTATCTTCTGTTCGATTGCAGTAAGGTCGTCTTCACTTGAGATTTCGGTCACCGGCAAGGATGATGCAGATGCCGATGGTCCCAGGTGACTGAATTCTTGATGTTCGGCAGGAGGCAGCGAAGCGATGGGCAATTCCAAGGCACTCGGTAACGGAGGAGCGCTTGGAAATGGGGAAGTTGCGCTTCCTGTCGACTTTCTTGGGAAATAGTCCGCTCCTTCTTCGCTTCGAAAACTGAATGCGGCCAACGAACTTGAACTGCAAAGAATTGCTGCGGAAAGTCGCTGGCATCGTAGTTGCCAGCATCGTGGCGATAGAAAGTTGAAGAAGTATTTGCGCGCTATCAGACGATTATGACATCCCATGGCTTGTCCTAGCGAATCGGAGCTTTTGTTTCGCCAGCGTGACCAATAAGAGCATGCACAACTATGTTTTCTACGGGGTTTTATGGACTGTGAGCACGATATCACAAACAATGCTCTGAACAGAACGAAAGAGGGTGAGATGCTCATTCCAATAAAGGGTGGCTGTCCAGGCTAGTCCTCAGAAACGCGGAGAGAGAGCGCTTTGAAAATAACAAATTTGCGTGATCGGCCGCGTCGTCGGAGCACATGCGCGCCAGCCAGCATGTCGAAAATAATTTATTTCGGAGTAAATATCTTACTTACAGGAATAAAACTTTTGGACAGCATTAGTATTTATGAGTTCTAAAAGCCTGCATGGTCAACCTATTTTCCAAAAACTTGACTTTTTTAAAAAAAATCTCGATTCCTAGGTTGTGCCTCCCCTTAATGATTTAAGCATCTCAGGACAAGGTAAGCCACTGTGGTACTAAACACAAATAAAATAAATAATTAAATTATACTGTCTACACAAAGACACCACACTTCATTAGAAAATCTAATTTGTGGGAAGTATTTAATGACTTCTGGGTGCTTCAAAGGGTAGTAGTTTAATCAAAAAGCTTAGGGAAGCCAAATCCTTTAGGAGTATGAAAGTGATTGGAAACTTTTCAAAGAACACATTGAGCAAAGGAGTTAGCCACAGATACAGTAGTAGAACCTTATTGATACATGCTCGGTTCATACCGTAGGTGTTCCTTGATGTTGCATTCACAAGCACCCATCCAATCAAACTCGCATATGAATATCTGTATCAATTCATTGCATCCCAGCTGGGACGACAGCAAGATCCCAGACTTCCAAGCGTTTGTTCTAGCCAAAATGAGAATGAATCTATATTCTCTTCTTTCAACCATTTTACCCTGCTCTCTACAAGGTGCATGCACGGGCGGGGTGCAAGTCACGTCGATATACTGCATGACACTGCTAGACTACTTGTGCATGCCCCATGCTCTCCAGGTACGATTAACACCGCACAGTTTCATTATTTTTGTGTCTGCCGCCCTGTTTCTTATGTCCAAAAACTGCCATTCGAGGCGGCCGAAGTGACACATTTGGCCGGGAGGCTTCGGTCGCCCTCTTCCTTCTGCCTTGCTCCCCCTCCTCTTTACCTCTTTGCCTCTCTGTGCCATGCTTCTTACCAAGGTGGGGAGAACCTTAGTTTTATGGTGTTTGTGGAGAATAACATAGAAGACAAAAACCAGACGGAAAAACCGGACGTGTCGTCCGGTTTTTGTCCTCTATGTTATTCTCCACAAACACCGTAACTTAACCAGCACATTCCATTTCCAAGAGTGCTTAGTTTTATTATTTTATTTTGCTTAGAGTTCAATTTCTGTAATTGGTGCATGGTTCGGGTGCATTAAAGTTATACTGGTTTGCACCGGCAAGCACATAGAGCTTCATTGCACCCAAATTCTACGAGCAGCAGCCGATAGGCTCTGGAAATGTCGCAGGTCGACATTCCTTGGCTATGATTACAGGTCGACTCCTAATTCTAAAAAGCAGTGCTGTAAAAAAAAGAAAAAAAAAAAGTCAACCTCTATTTAAAAAGACACAGTAGTTCCCCAAAGCCGGGAAACTCCGTATGAAACAAACTGCTGCGTGAGGGTTGCTTCTTATCTCATCTATAAGACCCAAAAGTTTTATTGGTTGTTATGTTTTGCTAGATTACAGTCGAGCCCGGTTATATCACACCCAAGTATTTTGAATCATTCCAAACATCGAAACAGTCCAAACATCCCCTTGAAAATCAGATGTAATAATATAGGAGCATTGCATTTTTGTATCCAACTCCCATGGCACTCAATATAAAGAAAAACGAAGCCAGGCCGGGCCGCCCGTTGCTTTTCCCACAATCGGAGTGCACCGGTGGCGAGCAGAGCACATCAGCGCACACTTGGTACGATAGGCAGTGAAAGAGCAGTTGTGAGAAAGGAGACAATGAACCGTAAGAAAAAAGAAAGTGGAGGATAGCAAAAACAAGGGGAAGGGCTCGCGCATGCGTAGAGAGAGCAGGGAGTGCCCCCTGTTGGAACTGTAGCCTTCGCCCTTTCCCCGAACACTGCTAATGCTGTGCGACTCCCTAACCCCCCCAAAAAAAAAAAAAAAAAAAAAAATAAAAATATGAGTATGTCGACAACAACGGTTGTGCAATTGTACGTTGAAGGCCTCATCTTTGTTTACCTTTTTCTTTTAACATCCTTGCTTTGCCAGTCTTTTGCTTTTTTTTTTTCCCCTTTCTTTTTTTGCTGCCTGAATTTCGTGAGCTTTCTTTTTGCTGCTTGCATAACTTTTTTTCTATGGAACGAAAACAATTTTTTTATGTGTTTCGCTTTTTTTTTTGTGTGTCTGGAGGTTTTGGTAAGGCACGCGCGTGTAAACGCGGTGGAGTTTGCAGTCTCCGCCAACTACATTCTCCTGTATTTAGTGGCTCTTGGATGCTTCATTTGGTAAGCTCCCGTTTGTCGCGACCTTCAATATTAGCAGAGACGCCAGGAAATTTCAACTCAAGCTTAATTTAACATATTTTTGTATATCGAATTAGTATTGATATTTCAAACTATTTTACGATCCCAATTGAATGCAATATATCCGGGTTCGACTGTGTAGCGTGCATTCTATGATTCACATGCTGGGACAACCATGCCGGCGCAAGAGCTCGGGCTCGCAGCGCTCGAGCTACGAGGACCGACTGCGAGACTACAAGCGATTCTATAAATGCTTTTCTTATCGTAACAGTCGGTCGGCCAATTCTTGTGTCTCTACAATTGGTGACCCGGACGTGATACGTCGCTATGGCTCTCGAGAACACCGCTACCACAAATGTCGCCGCCGTCACGTTTCGATTTCCGAAATTTTGGCCAGCGGATCCTCTGGTATGGTTTGCGCAAGTGGAATCACAGTTCGTCAACGCTCGGATCACCAGCCAAGCTACGAAATTCCATCACGTCGTAGAGTCTCTTCCTCCCGAAGTGGCCATGGAAATTCCAGATTTAATCCTCTCGCCTCCAGACGATCAGCCTTTTGACAAGCTTCGCTCAGAACTGATCAAACGAACATCCGCATCGGAGCAAAGACGGCTCCAGCAACTAATAACTTCCGAAGAGCTCGGGGACCGAACGCCCTCCCAGCTTCTTCGACGACTGCAGCAGTTGGTGGGTGATAGATTGCCAACGTTTGATACCTCCCTGCTGCGAGAGCTTTGTCTTCAACGGCTACCATCAAACGTACGCATAATACTCGTTTCCACCCCATCCATGAGCCTTGACGATCTGGCTCAGCTGGCCGACAGAATCATAGAATGCACGCTAGAACTGTATATGTTTCCTTATGCAATCAGCCAAAGAACAAGTCATAAGGGTTCTATTGAAATAAGTGATAAAGACACAACTGCAATATATACAGTCAAGCCTCCTAGCAATATAGTACATGACAAAACATTGCATGTGAGGGAAAACACTGTTTGGTCTGGGATATATGAATTAAGCGAAGGCAACACTGCTGAGAGCACCCCGTCAGAAAACCTACCACTCGAAGAGAATCCATCCGGCATGCGGTACGTCACCCAGGGCCACTCTTCGTCCGACAGATGAGGAAAACCCTGGACAGTCCCAGCCATGACACGTACGCTGTACTGCTTTGTAGGCTCCAACCCTGAGACAAGAAGAGACATGCACCAAAGGTCTTCACCCAGTGAACAGACCAAGAGAGAGCCCTTCACAAGTAGCGAATGCAAACAACGCAAGTCAGGGACAAACATAAGAGGTAGGAACATGTAGTGCCTTAATAGTAGCTTTATAACTCACAGTGACAATGATTTGACAATTAAAGGGCAACTCTGCTCGATTTTTGTTAATAGAAAAAAAAAAATGCAGTTCTCTTTTGTGCCATCTAGCAAGATTGCAAGTGAAATATGAAAATGTAACTTCATATAAATGTCTAATAAGATGGTCAACAAAGTTTGAGACATAACAAGTCATTGACATCTGATAGATTTGGTGGGCGACGTGAGTCGCAGACAAGCATATCGTCAGCAAGACATTTCTAAAACTTTGTTTCCTGTGTGATAAAAATTTACCAATGACAGAGATGCCTGTTCTCAACCATTTTCATGTCTACTGTCACTTGAAATGGAAGATACATGAAGAAAACAATGTTTAATGAGCACAGATATAGAAAAGAACACAAACAAGGCACAAAAGAAGCAAAACCTGGTAGGAAAAAGTCACAAATCTTCTGAGGAACACTTCCGATTATTTCTTAAAACATTTACCTAGAAGTTTTGTGCTAGCTACCATACTGAAGCTTTTTAGGAAATTCCTTTTCGAGCAAAAATTACATAGTAAACATTGTTGAATGAGCATACTTCGAGAGCCAATTTTGAAACAAAACATAAAACGCATTATATCAAATCATTAACGGCATTAACGACCACATTCTTGACTTGATACTATGCTCAGACCCCACTACACTAAATTCGATCTCCTACAAGAATGGCCTCAGTGATCACAGGCTTGTTCAAACGGAAATCAATTTGCCTGTATCGACTAAAAAAATTTCTTTCAAAACCACCCGTGACTATAATAGAGCAAATTATTCTGCCATAACCAAAGGTCTTGAAGATTTTCTTCCCTTCTTCAAGAGAGACTTCCCCAGCAACTCGACTGAGCTTAAACTGGAACCTATTCAAAAATAAGCTAAAAGACTTCACAAACAGGTTTGTGCCAATTGTGCGAATTTGGACCGAGAGTGACCGAACGTGGTTCGAAAAAGCCCTAAAGCGTCTAAAAAACAAAAAGAAACGATTGTATGCAAGCACCAAGCGATCAGGTAGTGCTTCTGCTCAGGAGAAGTGGCCTGTGCCACTCTATACGCCAACAACGTAAAACAAGCTAAAACCAAATTTTTTACGCACGACTTACTGTCTATGCTATGCAATAACCCCAAGAAATTTTGGCGATTAATTCCCCCAAACGAGTCCTCAAGCAGCGTCATTCTTTTGGATGAAAATGGCGATGCAGTGCCTGACGAACTCACTGCTACTTATCTTGACGACTATTTTGCATCTGTCTTTTTGAGTGAGGTCTTGTCAGACGTCCCGGTGGTCGGTGAGGCCGGCTACTTCCCTATGGATCCAATCGAAATCTCGCCAAATGGATTTCAAATCTGATCGAAACCGCTAAGGTGTCAATGTCAGCCGGTCATGACGGTATTAACATGAAGATTCTAACAAACACTAAGTCGACTTGCAGCCAGATACTGATATTTCACCAATCATTATCCACAGGTCAAATACCGGATGACTGGAGGATTTGGAAGTGCACAAAGATGGTGATCATAAATCTGTCTCTAACTACAGGCCCATTTCTCTTACCAGTGTCGTATGTAGGCTTCTGGAACATGTAATATATTCTCACGTCATGTTACATTTGTCGGTCAACAACTTCTTTAAGCATTAACACGGTTTCCATAAAAGACACTCCTGTGATTTTTTCGGCAACCACCAGTCGCCTACAGGGCACAAGCTGCACTCCATTGCAGGTGGAAGCCAATTTATTCGTACATAAGAGACATAGTAACAGCTTGTGAAAATGAGGCCTACCTGTGATGGTGTACTCCTGCACGTTGCCCTTTACTTCCATCACATGGTTGTAGTTCTGGTCGTGCAGCCTGTAGTGGATGCGGTAGAGTGCAATGAAGCCCCTCGCCACAGAAGGCGAGAGCTCGCTCCATGAGATGTGCATCGTCGTTGGCGTCAAGCTGGTCACTGACACCGACGGCGCCGCCAGAGGCACTGCGTCAGCCGCACGAGTGAAGGAACAAATTCTAGAAAACCAATTACTCTGGCAACAGAGCAAGATAAATTCTCAGGAAATGAGTATATCTAAAATTGCCGCTATACCCACCCAAAAATAAAAAAAAATAATAAAAGATTGGGATGGGCATTTGTTACATTTGAAAGCAGAAAAGCAGGAGGGGCACATGGTAGAGTAGGCACTTGTTCGATCCAATTGGACGCTATGGGAGCAGTATAAGGGTCGCTAAAGCAACAGCACAAATCTCATCAAGCCTGCTTCACACATGACCCTATCATGTAAAGCTTCACTGCCTTGCACAAGCTTTTTAGAGAAGCGGCAAATGCAAAGGAACACCTGAGTTAGCTTGGTGGGATCAGAAGTTTGCCGAGGTAGGTGCCTGATATGCCTTTTGCTTATATTTCAAATTACTCAAAAGTATAGGTGGCTACTCATTGCGATATGGGTGCACACTGGGCATATTACGGTTGTGCCAAAATTAAAGAAATAACATATGGTTAATGCTCACCGTCTTCCCCAGTTATCTGGGTGATTTCTTCGGACTGTTCACTGGCGCTCTTGCCGCTATACGCACGCACATAGAAGGTGTAATTGGTGAATGCCGTCAGCTTGTCAACAATGCAAGATGTGTTGACTGACACCTTCTGCAGTTCAATGCCACCTGCAAGAAAGAACCACTCATATTAATAGGATGAAATCATGCAAGCTTGAAACTAAGCACCTCCACAAATGCTACACAGGGATTCCTCGAACATACAGTGAACCCTCAATATAATGAAATCACTTTTATTGAAGTTCAACGTGGTCCCGACCAAAATGCATGCATTTTACAACGAAGCTGTATACCTCTACCCCGCCATGGTTTCTTCTGTGTCGTTGTCAACAAAAAAAACTACAAGGCCATACAGCATAGAGTGCAGTATTCGTTTCAATAAAAAAAACAAAAAAACACCAAACAAGCATCAAAACTGCATGATGGATGATAAGGCACCTGTGGACAATGCGAAGCATGAGCGTGCGTTTCCCGGTATAAATTACGGTTGCAGCTGCTCTGGAAAGGGGCTGATGTCGTTCGAAGCCCTTGTGTAACTCGTTATGCCAAGTGACTGGATACACGGAATAGTGTGTGCGAAGCAAGACGACAACCGTGCGGCAGGCGTTGCAATCTACGCAAGGTATGAAGCTTGAGTTCAGCCGTATGAACTCCAATATGACCAAGTCGACTGTGGCGATGCGTGTTCCGTGAACATTAGCGATGGACTCATAGTTTTTACGGTCAACGTCTCACTGAATACACCCAAATCTGACATCGAGTGCTTCAAGTGAACGCACTTCTCCTTACTGTCAATAGATCAAGCCACACCAATAATCATTGTCGGAGACTTTAATGTGGACATTTCGAAACCGCAAAAAAAAAGTCGTTCATCCAATTTATCGTGGAAGCGTTTGCACTCGTGTGCTTTACCAATGTAACTCGACCAACTACCATTCATGAATCATGCATTGATCTAAATTTTACCAAGAATCTCTCTACAGTCAGAACAGAAAATCTTAGCGTGTATCACTCTGATCATAAACCAGTTGTGAATGTCATTACAAAGTGAGTGTGTGCCACGTCGCATTGGGTAAATTGTTGCAGGTGTTGTTACAGCTTCTCTGGCCAACCACCTTCGCAGAGTGGAATGGCTCGACAATTTTTACAGCGGAGCTGTTCAAGGGTAACTGCAAAGAAAAAAAGATTTCTTTTTTTAAACAGCCTAATTTGGACAAGCACGTCAAAAAACAATTTTTCCACGAGAAAAAAAACATTTACAGCGATATTTATTGCGTGAGACTGATTTTAGTTTGCGGCTATTTCGTTCGTTTTAAATCGCGCGCCACAAAGTTGCTGTTCCGAGACGTTTAAAACCGATTGGCTGCTAAAGTTCTCATTGGCTAAGAGATTGATTGACAGCTTAGATCTTGGTTGTTAAACCTTTGTTATATGTCGTAATTTCCTTTTTGGGCGGCATATTGTTACGTTTAAAGAATAACCCATGTGATGAGGGTTATTATGCTTTACAAAAGGTTTACAAGACAGGCACTTTCGTTTGGAGTCCTACAAAAACAAACAAAAGCTTCGCCGTTCTTTCATGGCCGCCTAAGTCTCTGCTCCCGCCTGTGTCGCCTACCTCGACTAGTCGGTTCGCCGAAGTGATTAGTGTTTCGTGCTGACCCAGGTGCTTGAGTGAGACATCTTGAAGTGAAGTAGCGTGTGTTTAGAAGCTGTCGCAGGTGTTAGTGATAGGAAGCGACGCGGGGTTTTGGCTTTCATAGCGCGGTTCTTTCGTTTTCCTCTTTGCTTGCCTAGCGTGTGTTTTTTTGTTTGTTTTTCTCCTGCTGCTTTTGCGTGCAAATGCCGACTTTTTGGAGATGTCAGATCAGTGATCCCGACAGCGAGCCTTCCAGCAGCCATGTCATCCCGAAAGGAATGATATTTGGCTGGAGGCAATCGGGCGTTCGCGTATACGACAAACGTGTCCAGTTATGTTCTCGTCATATCGCTTCGGAGGCTGTCGAGATTCACACCTGGTGCATCGAACGTCCGCGACTAGACACAGCCGTTACGTAAAAAACCTGGCACAGCCAGGTTATTACATAATAGCTGTCCGCAGAAGCCTTCGGACATCTAAATTCTGCACTAGCCGACAGATTTTTTTTTTCGGCTTCCGAACCATTTTACGTAAAGTTGTGTGAATGAATGTGTACTGTTATCGTAAATCTTGGCTTGTGATTGCAGCTTTGTAGATCATCTTATTCGTTTTGCTGGAGAGACGCGAACGACGGGCATAACAAAATCAGTTGCATATTCCACGTGCCTTGTAAAAGCACTTCCCCAGTCACCTTGCGAAAAGCGCAAAACACGGGGTCCAAACTGTCCTGACTTCCTCGTCTTTTACCTGCTTTAGAGCAGTTTGTACCTGCTGGCTGCTAGTAGCTATGTCTACTGAAACTGCAACTTGAAACAAGGGGCAGTGCCAGAGAGCAAAGAGACAAAGTTTGGAAAGCCTGCTCGCCCTCTCCAATTTTTGAACTTTCAAGTGATTGTACCGCAATAAATGCCACAATGCCTCTTCCCAGAATAAAAAAAGCACTATGATCACTACGTAAAAAATGGTCTCAGTTCATGCATCTGTGGGCAAGTAGGAAATCTTGCCCAAATTTATTCACACCGGACGATGAGCGCAACATGTCACTGTGCAAATGCAGTCCAACACGAAGCATAAAAACTGCACATTTAGGACAACAATTCGGAGTCCATTGTTCAAGAAAAATGACGTAATTTTGTTGAAAACGCCCACAGCTTTTTACTTACGGTATGCGTCGGAAATCTTCCACATTTTGAAACGGAACGAAGGAAGATATATATACTTTTAAAAACGCTCGCTGCGTCCTCCCAGACCAGTTTAATTTGATCAGCTTTCGACGACGGGACTGAACCCGTTGAACCTCAACCCCACAACCGCCGATTTGCGCTCCGTGTTAGTGTGGATGTCTACTTCCAAGCACCGCACCACACACACCACGAGCGTTTCAGTTCTTCGTCACATTGCCGTGTTGCACCAAACAGAACGAGATCGCCGAAGTCAATGCAGTGCTGTCGTGAGCGTTGGCTTGTGGCTGCGCACTCGTGGACCCTGTGACCCCCTCGCTTTCAAAGCACACACGACGATTACAAATGACACTTTCTGTTTTCTGGAAACATCACAGGGGCACTTCTCCGGTCACGTCTTCGCTATGTGCTCGCAAACCGTGCAACTTCTTGTGTCCCGTCAAACCAAAACAATACCGGCGCCATGTTTACCGTGCGTTGTTGCCAGATCTTGCCGAAAGCCGAGACGCTGAGTCGTTCAACTCTGCAGCCAAGTCAACCCAAGAGCAAATCCAAGAGTGTGGGGCGGGGCGTACTTCTCCCCCGCGGTGGTCGAAAGAGCAGGAGTTTCAAATGTGGAGAGGTTCTGACTCCGACTAAATTATGTCCTGTGGCGTAAATATTGCTAAAAAAAATTATTTATTTCGTGGAACATTTTTTTTGTGACATGCTTGTCCCAATTAGGCTGTTTAAAAAAACTTTTTTTTCTTTGCAGTTACCGTTTAATAAGGGCTAGGTTCCTAAGGAACGTATCTGGTACCAAAGAAATGTCGACACAAACCTACACGAACCTCTGGACAGCTACCGCCATCAATAAGCGACGGCGGCAACCAGGCAACCAGTCTGGCTGCCACCGTCGCTCATAGATGGCGGCAAACTTTTCAGCTATCATAGAAGAATGGATAGTTGGGCGAGTTTGTGTGAATTTATCGTAGGAAACGGGGCGAAAAACAGACGAGGACGAAGAAACACACGTGATGAGCGCAGCACACGTCATGTGTGTTCTTTTTCGTCCTCGTCTGTTTTGCGCACTGTTTCCTATGCTCTTATCAGTTTCGGTTTGGACTCGGGATGGGTCGGCCGCGTGCCCTTTCTTTGGGGAAAGAAAACCGGGTGCGGAAGGAGCGACGACGTACGCAGCAGCGCGAATGGGTCCGCAACCGCCGCGTGCGTTAAGCGCTTCAGATTCTTTGCGAAAGAAAGAACGCCACCACCGAGAACAGAAGCTACAGCTCCACTGCTCTTCCTTCTTCACCAGAGTGAAAAGGCTGTTTAACCAGCTTATTCTAAGAGTATCGGCGGCCGACCACGCTTATTACAAAGCCCATGCTGCCGAAAGCAAGCAAGCCTACACACGGAGGCGCACGGAAACCCTTCCGTTTCCTCCCCCTTTTCCACCGAGACAAATGGCAACCTGGGGAAACGGCAAACAAGAAAACGGAGTGAACGGGTGACAGAGGGCAGAGCGCGCAGAACGTCGCTTTCGATGCTGATGAGCCGAGCGGGGACGCAGGCAGGCAGCAGCGGGAGCAGCGTCCACGTCCCGACGCTGCTCACGACGTCTGCTTTTGCTGACACCGCCAGACTTTTGTCAGAATAGGCTCAAGGGAGTGATGTGTGTGCGCACTTGGGCCGTACAAGCACATGTGCGTCGTACGGGGGGTGAGAATGTTGACCAAAAGTCAAGTGGCCGGTTCAAGTTCGAAATCGCCAAAAAATTCAACATTCCGGCATCGGCTGTTTGACACTGTCCACCATTTTGCAAAACAAGCAAGGCATACTGGACGGGTTTCAGTAGTTTCTCATGCAAGAGAAAGCACACCCGCGATCCGAAGATGAAAGATCGCCAACTGCTTTGCGCACACCGGATTTTCTCTTGCGAGCATGCTTGCCGAGCTGGAGCACGATTCCCAGAGCTGCAACGATCTCTATAGGAGTATGTGAAAACATGTTGGCAAGGCTACTGAGAGTAAATTTGATTCTTCGCACCTGTTGATGCAGACATTTCCTTTGTTTCTCCAGCCACGGATGCTGTGATTGTAGACCTTGCATGCGGCCAGGGTAAACACGAAGCGACGTCGGAGAGGCATCTCAGGAAACGCCGACAACTGTGGAGACGCGGGACATTCTACGGCTGCTTCAAAACAAATTGGAGTGCAGCGGTGGTGGCAGTGTTCTTGTAATGCCTGGAGCAGTTCAAGGAGAACTGATGTCCGGACAAAATTATCGGCAAATTCCACTTCATTACTTTTTTACTTGGTAAAGCTTCCGCATGTTGTTTATAACCAAGGTTTGTTTGATTATATTGTATAGGGGAAGAGCACAGATGATGCATGCTTGTAACGTGGGCCGCACTCATTAGATTGCATGGGCGACCGCTGTAGCCGTTTCGTGCTGAGCCCGAGCACAGCACACTATGCTACGATTAACCTGTGGCAAAACATCAAGCTGTGAGGTCCTGAGGCCAAGGCCACGCAAGGAGAAACCCACACCTTACAAGCAAGACGGGGAGCGAGGGAAGTGAGAAAGCACGGAAGAGGGCAGAGAATGTAACGCACCTGAGGTAGGGAGGTAGTGCACAGAGTAGGCCTGTACCACCCTGTTTCCTGGACTGAGTGGGGGGCTCCAAGAGAGCAGGATGGAGGTGCTGGACAGGGTGCGGGCCGTCAGGTCACTCGGGGGACTGGGTGCGTCACCTGCACGCAACAGTTTTCACTCCATGAAACAAGCAGCCACGAAAGAGAAGACTGCTAGCAAGAGGAATGTACCCTTATTAAAAATTGTCACCAGCACGGTTAACTTCTTGGGAAAAAAAAAGAGAGCTGTTCTTGTTTTAAGTTCCGTACAAACAGTCGAGAATGCTGCAGGACTCCAAGAGCTTTCCTTAGCAGGTCTGCCAAGGCATGGGATAGACTTTTCCAGCAGTTCCTCCCGTGCCATAGCCGAGAGAAAAAAAGCTTGTCTTTGTCATCTAGCTGCAGATAAACCCGGGGAACACAGAATGTGTTGTGCATTCTGTGCATTATGCATGCGTTACGATTTGTTATGCTTGATTACGGGGACTGTAGGGTGGTTTTGAATGCACTGCACACATGACACACTCATGCGCTCACCAGGTTTACGAGAATGGTCGAGACAAGTTCAAATTTATTCAGGAGGCAAGTCTCTGAGGAGTATGCTTTAATGATAAGTTTCCACGAGTTCCGTTTCTTCTGAGAGTGCATGCAGCGCCTCAAGTTCCTAGTGCTCCTGGCTTGCAAGGAGTTCCTTGAGGTAACTGAAATAACTGCGAGTGGAGGAAGTTTACACAGGCCGATAATCTATCTTGGCTGCTGTGCTGAGTCGTGACGTCATACGCCGGGTGTGCTAACTGTTTGTGAGGAGTTACGCTTCATCATTCGGGAGCCAGCTGCACACTCCTGCTCCTTGCGCTCTTTCACCTCCTTCTCGTGGCACCGGGCAAAGGGTTTAAGATGCGGATCGCATGGTTTGGGGTATGAATCCCACTCAGCTGATTGTTAAATCTAGCTTGTTACAATTACTATTTATGCCAATTATGAGTATCTATGATTGTTTATGACTAAGAATGCCATATCTTTGGATGCCTATGCATCGCCTGCCAAGGGTTGTGCATGCTGCATGTTGCCTTGGCCTGTGTGTAATGCTTTTTCGTCACACTTGAGCATAAAGCTTTGTGCATGAAATCTAGTCCATAAACAGATTCTGTGTTAAAAAGGCAACAAGAGGAGCCTGTGATGGTAACAGGACATCTGTACCTATTTGAAAAAGAACATTCTTTAACCATTTAACCAGTTAGCGCTCAACGGCCCTTGGCAAAATCCTCGTCTATCAAAATGGAGATGTTGGCTTTCCTCCGCACTTTAATAAGACAGATCCACCATTTTGAGCAATGGCCCAAAAGTAGATTGTCCTGTGAGTTATTTTGCCTCTCTCTCTCTCTGTCTGTCTGTGTCTGTGTGTGTGTGCATGTGTGTGAGTGAGTGCATGTGTGTGTGTGCATGCATGCACGCATGTGCATGTGTGTGTGTGGACAGTAATATCTACCAAATTTGGTCCTAGAGGCAAAATTAAAAGTTAAAAAAAAAAGAGGAGGCCAGTAAGAGCTTCCATAGGCATGGGAATGTGCAGCAGAATCCTTTTTAGAGCGCAGCTCTTAGGGGCTTGTTCCCGGCTTGAGCGGCGTCGGCGTAACCAAGGTCACCCCAAGGTCATGCGGCCCCCAAGGTCACGTGACACCCAAAGTCACATGACCCCCCCCCCCCCCCCCGAGGTCACGTGACACCCCCAGGGTCACGTGACCCCCCGCCGAGGTCACGTGACCTCCCCAATGACGTCATCGTCACTGATAACGTCACCGGCATCTGCATCGTCATCGTCATCACCACTGATGACGTCATCAGTGATTTCACTGATGACCTCACCGGCATCCGCATCGTCATCATCACTGATGATGTCATCAGTGACGTCACTGATGACGTCACCGGCATCCGCATCGTCATCATCACGGATGACGTCATCAGTGACGTCACTGATGACGTCACCGACGTCCGCATCGTCATCGTTGCTGATGACGCCATCGGAGTCCACATCGTCATCGTCACTGATGACATCATCGGCATCGTCACGTGACCCCCGAAGGTCATGTGACCCCCCCCCCCCCCCCCCCCCCGTACCCTTCCCTCCTCCTCCTCAAGAGCTGCGCTCTAATTCGGTGTTACAGGGAGTTGTAAACGGCTTCCACTTTTTTGTCCTAATTACAGCACAAAATAGTAGCACCCACAAACACCTGAGGAAGCTGGGTATACCCTTAACCCAATGTTGTGGGACAGAAGGCTATAGGGTGCAAAAATTAATTCAAAGAATGAGAATAATACGTCCTCCAAAATAAAAAAAAATTACACCCTGCAAATTCTTTCCCAAAAACAATATCGGATTTAGCTTGAAGTGTAAAACAATATCATCAAACTCATGTCTGTACTTAGTAAGTATTTCAAGTTGATCATAGACTACCTAAATGTCTTAAAAAATTTTAGAGCCCTTCCACTTCACATGAAGATGGTGCACCAGCGAAGCTGTCATTGTTACGATATCTACGACGATGTCTAGGACGACCTCAAGGGCGACTTCTAGGATGACCTCAAGGACGATGCCTAGAGGACAACATCTAAAAGGACCTCAAACCGACTTTTAGGACGACCTCAGAACGATGCCTAGAGAACCACGTCTAGGACGACCCCAAGGACGACTTCTAGGACTGTCGATGCCAAGAGCTCGTGTCAGGAGATGCACTTCCACACGCTCCGGAACAAAAAAGAAACAAAAGTGTTTGCAACCAAATGGTGAGATGTCTATTTTGTTCCAAACGCTTTTGTTCACGCATCCCACGGAGAAGGAATGCAATGCCGATGCTCAACAACTTCACCATGATTTGTAGCAGCTATCACTGTCATTGTACTGTAGAGGACTGCTCAATTTTATTTTGTTTGAAAAGATACTAAAACCTGATTTAAAAATGAATAAACCAATTACCAAAGTGCACCTGGTAGACGTTCCCAAAACTACCTTGACTGTCTTTCCATTCCCTTTTCCATAAAAACAGCGCCGCTATGCGGAAGTATGGCGGCAAGCTGCATGCGCGCCCTCCCTGTCGATCTTGGCCAAACTGGATTTCCCTTCTGTCCCATGCCTATTCAACTCAGTCACTTCCGTGGCACTGAAGGTTTGTTTCAGATTCCAGAGTGCAAAGTCGAGGGTTCGATCCCTGGGCGGTCCCATCCCCAAGGAATACTTGTGGTGTCGCTCATAGACATAGTTGCTTTGCAACGTAAAACCCCAATATTTCCTTTTTCTTTTCTATCCAACTCCTGCTGGGAGAGGGAAGTCTGAAGGAGGAGGCGAGGCACTCGAACGACCCAGTTGTAACGTGTTGATGCCATCAAGTGGCGAAGCTCACAACCACGCCAGACTCCTTGTAGCCTCGCCCGCGTAGGGAAACATGACATCACAAATGCGCTGCAGGCACCGAACCTTCTGAGAAGCATCGCACTCTCCGATGGCTGCTCTGCGACCGCTTGCTAGAATCGGCCGTTTGGAACGAAAAATATAGCCATCCGTTCAAAATACGAACATGCCATTGTCATTAGCAGATTTTGTTGACCATTTTAAATTAGTTCTGAACGTGAAAGGTATATTTCAATTTTCACTGGAGTATCCCTTTAAGCTAAAGGACTGCACACCTGAGGCATTGACTTGAAGCCTGGCGGCCAGGGTGCTTGTTCCGGCCGGGTTGGAGGCGACGCATTGGTAGAATCCGGCGTCCCTCCTCACCAAGTGCGAGATCACCAGCATGTGATTTGGAGGTTTCCGCCGATGGTGGTCAGCCTCCTCCGTCACATGGCGCCGATCTTCAGGCAGGTACTTGTTGTCTTCTGAATGTAAAACCTGCGCACCAAACAGAGGTGGATATTAAAAAAAAAAAAAAAAAGATTCACCCGAGGTATTTTAACCTCAATGTCCAAATTTACCAAATTGATCTCCAGCCTCACTAGGAAAGTAATGCAAGTACCTATACTTCGTCTCACCCTACGATGGACTAGGGCTTGAAGGCTGGCGGGCGGAGCACCACCTCAGAAAAGCTTGCATCCGCATTGCAAATGAGTGCGCTAAAGAAATTCAGATATGCAGAGCACGAAGGGCACCAATCTTACGTTTATGATGCTCTGTTGTGATAACACACTATTTTATATCGGTGAAGTAAATGTACATGAAATTTAGTTTTATAAATATTCCTGCCAAATCACAAACATGTAACTGTTTTGAGAAGTTGGGGGGCATGCAGGCCACACTGACATAAAGTTGTTTCGCCTTAGCCATAACAATATCCAATCCAATCTTTGTGTATGTACTGTACATACGCTCCCGTGTCGAACACTCAACACTCAACTCATCTTCATTTTCTAATGGCCACTGGTTCTGACCCCGGGTTCTCTTCGCCTTGTTGCATCCGGACAGTGTTTAAGAAAGCCCCCTCCAGTAGTCTGGCACGGCAGATCGTACTTAACCCCTTAACTGGGGAGCACGTCAATTTTGACCGCAGGTTGGGGGCGCGTCTAGAGACGCGCTGCACTTTCTTTGCTGTAGGGAAGCGCGTTTTTAAACGCTTGCTCAATTTAGCGTGTGAGTAGGATGCGCCATCTATCCTTGCGTATTGGAAACATTTTTAGTTTTAAAAACGATGCATACATGGCAGCACAAAAAAAGGTTGAAGACTTTTGTATGACACCTTTGACTGTTTCTTTGGAAAATGGCATCCAGCAAACGCCAGCGTGACCCTTGACCGACAAAGAAATCGCTGAACTGCTGCAAAATACTCGCAAGGGCAGCGACTGCGATGTTGATTTCTCGAGTTCGATGGAGTGCTCCCTGGGATCCGACACGAAAATTGAAGATGACACAGCGTAACAATCGTTTATAAAAACACCATCAACTTCGGGGCCTGCTGTAACCTGGCAAGACACTTGCACAGTGAAAGATCCATTTCGGATTGTATGAAGTGCCAGGGTGCACATCCAACTCGATATAAATAAATTTGTTTCAGGTTTCAAGATTATCGTTGTACCCTGGAGAGCTAGAAACACTTAAAAAAATACTCCCCATTTTACAGATATTTTTGGTCAAAAAAGTTTCCAGCTAAGGGGTTAATGTATATTTTAAGCTTCGTGTCGAGACTTAGGCTACACTGTATCATGAGATCGTTAGGAGAGCGGCGGACTTAACGGGTGTAGCGTATGTGCCACAATCTTTAGATGGAAACAACTTGTTACAAAGAGTGCCTTAACTGGTGCGTCATCAGTGCCTTCACCCATACGCATAACATGGGAAAGGCCTCCGGCCATGCCAAGTGTGCTGGACTTGTTCCATCACTAGGCACTCCGGCTGATCCTGCATGGTTTCTTCCGGCGGAACGAGTATCCGACGCTACTCAAAGCAAGTCCACATCTTTATGCCTGCATTTATCTGACACAATTTATTGAACTGATAACTAGAAAAGGACGAGGGAGTGCTAAATATACAGATCTGATTACCCCGTGACATTTGAAATAGCATTCAACCGCCTCCCATATGAGTCCACTGCTTGCACAGATGTACAGACGCTCGTGAACAGGGCCCAAACATTGCAGATTAAATGACGTTGGTACATATTTGCTGTCTGTATAATAAAGGCTGCTGGGACCAAACGGGGAAAAACATGAGCGCAAGATTTAATATTGTAATAAAACAAAATGGAATAGGAATATGCTGATGAGTTTATTTCAGTGTGAAGTACATAGGCTGCATTTATAAAGTGGAGCAGAGTATCACAGTATCTGGCAAATGCCCCCACAACTCTGCTGGCACACTGACAAAATTCTCAATTGCAGCACAATTTTGTCAGTGACATGCCAAATCTCCGCCTTGAGCTCGATATTGTTTAAGGTTTGTTGTCATAGACAAGACTTTTTTTGCAACAACTAACTTGTTGTGGGCACAGTGCAATTGTTGGATATTGTATTAGTATTAAATTAATTGCAGTGTATACACTAATATAAAAATATTTAAAAAAACATTATTGCATTTTATTACAATATTAACTCTTGCACTCCCACCTGGGCACCCTAAATATCGTCACGAATGACAAATGATGAGGCGAAGAATTACTGAAGAAACTAAACATTTAGTGAGGCGAACTTGTACCCAAAACAAAATAAAAGTAAGTTAGCGTTGCAGGCATCGATGTCGGCAAAACAGCAGCATCGAGCGCTGGAGCAAGACACGAATTTACACGAATGTAGGTCGACCCTTTTTTTCAATTTCAATTTCTTCCCTTGAAGCCGGAAAGACGGACAAGGGGAAGCGGTAGAAAACTCTGTTCTTTCTTGGGACTTCATCGTGTTAGCTATCGTCGCTGGTGGCGTGCCGTGCGGCGAAGAGGCGTTAAGAAGCGACGCCGGGTTGTTCGAGAGTTCAACTTCAAAAACAGTTTTCTCGCTTTAAACAAAAATTGCTTTGATTAAACTTTCAGAATCAAAAGACAATTGATTGTTCTTCCAAACCCACCATATTTTGTATTTTTAGTTGGACCACCTCAGGGAGAAATGAACGGCTGCTTATGCGTCAAAACACACTTTTTTGCAACTTCAGGATCTTTTTTTTACTGCGAGATATTTAATTGACCAGTTTAAACATTTTTTTTATAGATTATATACCTGCAGGGCAGCCAGTAAAATGTTCTACCAAGTTTCTGGAGCAATTAGATATTTTTCTAATAAAATAACAAAAATGTTAGAATTTTCAACAAAAAAAAGTGTTTTTAAAAAATATTTAAATTAAACAAAACTGCACAATCCCAAGCACATTACAAGTCGAAAGCCGTGCAGATATAAGAAAAAAATATTGTTGGGTGCTTCATAAAAAAGCTGATTTTTCATCAGTTATGGAGTGATGCGTAGTTTCATGCTATTTTTAAAAGTTAAAACCACGCTCGCGCTATCAGAAACAATTTTTCGTCAAAACTTTTTTAGGCATGGCTACGAACATTGCGGCAAAAGGCCATGAATATCTTTTTAGAAATTGAAGGTGGTCGAGCGCGAAGTCTAGGACGTTTGACATGGAATGACCCAAATGTGAAGAGACCACATGCAGGTGCCTCTGGAGGCGGAAGACGTCTCACGCACCTTGATGCGTCCATTGATGATGAGGGGCTTCCCATCCTTGAACCAGCGTACCTCGGGGGCAGGAAAGCCCTGGGTGTCACACTCAAACCGAACCGTGCGTGCAGCGGGGCTCACAAGACTGGCCAAATCTGCAGTGAAGCTGGGAGGCTCTGCAGAGAATGCAGCAGATAAAGAACATTCGAAGAACATTCCTCCGTGTGCAAGATTTCTTTTGGCTTGAACTTTTTTTCCAGAAACCTACAATCAGAAAATCTTAGTACGATAAACGCCCCACCTAGAGACACTTTGTGAAAAGTTTCATCGCACTCCATTCATTGTTTTTTTTTTTTTTACAACTGTCTTTACGTCCGAATAATGCTCAGGAGCACCCTGTACACTTGTATGTTGCCCACCAAAGAGGCAGGATATTAGAAGGTACGCTCACCGTGAACATCCAGTGTATGTGACTGGGAGAGTGAAGTAAGGGCTTGCGGTGTGCCACGCATAAAGTTGACCAGGCACTGGTAGCGACCGGCGTCACTGCGTTTCAGCTTTTCTATTCTTAAGTTTCCCTGGCCCACAATGAAGCTGCGGCCCTCCGGCAAGGGAAGGACACCTGAAAAGATTGAATTTCACTTTTTTTATATATGCTTACGGCTTGCTTTGGCGGCACTAAACAATGTTCCACGTAAAGTTGGGAGCTAACTACTGCTTACTTGCTTCTGTGACAGTTTTTCAGGGTGTCTGCAATGTTGCTTAACCAGAGTGTTGCACATCATTCAAAAAATGAAAGACGTTTACAATTCCCTGTAATGGCAAATTAGAGCGCAGCTCTTCAGGAGGAGGAGGGTATGCCCCTCCTCCTACCTTCTCCTCCCTCCGCTTCCTCCCATTCTTCTCCCCCCCTCCTCCTCCCTTCCTCCCTCCCTCCTGCTTTGTAACGTCAATCGTGAAGGCCTCCTGAGGGTCGTGACCTTCACGAGTGACCTTCGTGACGTCACTCGTGACCCTTGTGACCCTCGTGATGTCACTCGTAATTCTCATGATGTCACATGGGACGTCATTATGAGAAACTTCTCATAATGCAACGTTCGGTTACGAGTGATGTCACTCGTGACGTCACATGTGACGTCATTATGGGAAACGTCCCATTATGCAACGCGCAGTTAGGCTGATGCCGATGCCGCTCAAGCCGGAAACGAGCGCCTAAGAGCTGCGCTCTAAAAGAAAGGAATAGATAGGCATTTTGGCACATAAAAGCAGTCAACAATGTGAGACCACAATAAAAAATGTCTAGCTTTTAGGGGCGAAGCTTCTTAGAGTCTAGCCTTGTCCGTCCGGCATCCGTGCTCACATCAATTGCCATCCCATCTGTCTTCTTAAAAAAAGAAAAAATGTTTGCGCAGTCGACAGGATTCGAACCTGTGTGGGGAGACCCCAATGGATTTCTAGTCCATCGCCTTAACCACTCGGCCACAACTGCGGGACGAGTAGGGGGCTCTGAAATGTGGTAGTAACTCAAGAGCTGGGGATGTCATGGATGAAACGTTGCATGTAGCCGCTCAACGTCTATACAGGAGAGGGTGCTGCGGTCAAATGCGTATATAATCGCGTTAAACTTTGCATGCATTGGCTCAACGTTTATAGACGAGAGGGCGCTGCGGTCAAATGCTCAAATGCGTATATAACCACATTCCATACCACACATTCTCTTTCCGACATGGATGAAAAGGGATGAAAAGCTCGGCATGCTGCGGCTCAGCGTCTACGCAACACAGCAAGCTGCTCCGGAGACCAGGGCGCGAGAAGCTGCAGCAAATCAGTATCATCAGCACCACCAGAGCTTCGCTCCAATCAACATCATTCACCACATGGAGATGTGGTCAGTTGTTTTTTTTTTCTGTTTTTTTCCTAAAGGGTTTGTTTATGAATTTCTTCATTAGTGGTTGCTTTCAGGAGAAACAGAGGACAAGTCAGCGGAGCCGACCTTTGAACACTTGTGCTCACCTTCCCGAAGCCATGTGATAACAGGATGTAGGGATGACCTGAGGAGGCACTCAAATTCGACCGTTTCCCCCACTACAGATGTCAGCTCTTGGGAAGGTGGGCTTAGGAACTCTGGAGGCTGCTCTGTAGGTCCAGTAGGCAACAAACAAACAAACAAAACACATTAGATTTCAGCATTACATAAACATTAGGCATATGTGCGAATAGTTTTTTTTCTCTTTTTCAGCTCAAAGCGAATAGCTGTTTTAGCTAAATATTTTTTAATTGAATATTGAATAGTTTCTCTAAGCCTCTCACTACTGCACCATGCTTAAACGAAAACTTAGCCGAACTCGTGAGAGTTGTTTCCAAGCTTTCACATATCCATTTCTTAACAAAATTAATTTTGATCTAACTATATTTACGAACTGCAGCCTCCAAAAGTTGAATGCCTACATTGGGATGGCAAGTAAATTATTCATCTGACATAAAATTCAGCCTATAGATGCCCAGCTATACGTAATCAAAGGATTTATAAATTTCATTGCTACATGAAAATATGCTTTCATTCATTCATTCATTCATTCATTTATTGATACTGTCAGCCCTTGCAAAGGGCTATTACAGGGGTGAAAAAAAAACAAAAAAACGTACACTTACATGCAAGCATACACGAAGGTTCGAAGCATTGAGACGCTTCATAATTTCGGCAGTTTACGAAACGGATCACTTCTTAGTTTTGAAACATTTCTTCATACAAGCTATAGGGGTTTTAATTTGTAGCACATACAACAATATCAGTGATACGCTCCAGAAATTAATTTAGTGACATAGATGACACAGCGGAATCAGGTAACATACTCCAGTCTTTAATAGCCCTCAGACAAAAAACTGTACTTAAAACAATCGACGAAAAGGCAAACAGCGCACAGTAGACAGGGACTAAAGGAAGTGCAAACAGGACAAAACAATCGCTTTTAAAAGATGGATAACAATTTCAAATGTAAAAAAAAAGACCATGACTGATGGTGCATGCAGGTTGTCAGAGCATCTCTCATATGATATTTTACTGCAATGTAGATATCAACATTCACAAAGTTTGTTTCTTTTTAAACACACAAGACGCACCTGTAAGCACAATCCCACTTTGAAAGTGTGTTTCTCTTGTGCACGACTGCAATATTCATACTTTTAAAAGTGTACTCACGGCAGGCTAGCCCCATTGAGTGCACTTCTTACCGAGCATTGGTGCACTTCAGAGAAGCAGCACCAGCAGAAGCAAATTCCGAGAGTGTTGCCTCTTCACAGTGCACCAGTGTTTAGTAGGAAGCACGTTCAACAAGGCTAACCCACCGTGATTAACACTTTGAAAAATAGGAATATAGCAGTTTATCTCTAAGCAAATATTAAATACCGTATTATTCAGAACTACTATTCTAAAATTTGAATATCTGAGCAATCCTAGTTAATATCACAAAATAATGTGCCAAAATAAAGCATTCACAAGGCAAGTTCAAAAGGCTTTCAAAATATTACACGCATAGGTATTTCAAATCATTATTTTAAAAGCATATTCTTGAAGACATCAACAAAGTTGAACATTTCTTGCACGAGGTCATTTCTGTGGCAGCAATCAAATAAAAATTGATAGAAAAGACTCAAAGACATGTCAGTTAATGAAAGGTAATGAAAGAGGTAAACATCTACAAACCATGATGAACTGTAGGTGGAACTGTCAGTGCGGCTTCAGCGCTCTGCATGGTCTTCGCAATGTTTTTGGCAATGCAGCGATAATTTCCGGCATCAGATGCCGTGGTATTGATGATTTGCAGGATGCCTGAGGAAAGCTGAGTAAATCTGAAAATACAACCAACAGGGAAGACGAACACAAGTCAGAGTGTAAGGTACACAACTGAGACAAGCACAGAAAGCAAGGAAAACCTCTAGGAGCTCTGCAAACTACAAGAGACAAAAGCACTTGAAAGCATCCAGTTAGGTGAAATGCCATGGCTAGCCTCTTTGTCCACATTTTATCACTTGTCTTCACATAAAGATCAAAGAAGCTTCATGAAAGTTTCTGTCAGCTTTCCCACTTTAAACAGGGTGTACAGCAAAATACAGAAGACAAATGACTGGATGATACAACAGCAACTGATGAACAACTGTACAAAATCTGTCAAGCAAGGCCTTCCCTAACAACAGGACGGTTCTGGTTGTGCCAACGTCTCACAATGTTTAGTGCGAAAGGGGGAACGCTGAACACTGAGCTGCGGGACAACAGCCAAACCTTCTTGGCAAAGGAGGTGGCAAGTACAAAGACAACTCCAAAACAAGCATCACATGTCAACTGGAAGAGTCTTCATTGCTGCAAGATGATGTCGAACGTCATAATGCAAAGCTTGTGCGAAAACAATTGCAGCACAGGGCTGGGAAGTACAGCCTCATTCATGATGCTCCCCTGGCCTTTTGCCTACCAACAGCAATATTTTTTTTATAATCTTGAAGAAAGCATATGGCAGTATGAAAGGTTTGAAAGGGATACTGCAACGACATTCTAGCGCCTATATTATTGTCCAAATGTCAACCACGTTCTGGCAGCATCATGGAGACACCAATTTTTTGCTCGAAAAGACATGAAAACAACATTATTTCAAAGAAATAAACCGAATGTTGTTATGTTACTACGCACTTAAAAGCAGTGCCACTCGGCGGAAATATGGCAGCAAGTTGCATGCGTGCGAGCCCTGTCAAACCGGATTTCCCTTCTCTCCCGGCCTATTCAACTTTAGAGGGGGGGGAAGAACAACTAAAAATGGCCAGGTTGTAACGTGCTAATGATGCCAAGTGGCGGAGCTCGTAAACACGCCAGCTCCCAAGCAGCTTTGCCTGTGCTGGACCAAGTGACACCATATCCATGACGTCAATTGGTAGCTCCCGTGAGGTGCATCGCACTCTTCGATGGCTGATCTTCGAGCGCTCGTTTGAATTGTGTTGCCTACGTGAAACGTTCTAGCATCACAAAAACATTTAGCGATACTCCTGACTTTCCAGATGCCAGATGCCTAACCTTCACGGCACTCTCCATCAGATAATTTAACGCGTACCATGAGTACACTCAATAGCTTTTTCTAGGATGAAGCGATACTACCTCAAATCAAACTGACAAACCTGGCAACCATCCAGGGCCTTCCATACTCTCGAGCTCCTCTCCCCCAGCGCGCACTGGTGGTCAATCTCCTCATCGCCTACCCCCTGGTCACATGACCCCCCCTTTAACCAATCAGCGTCAAGCTCCTCACTCCTCCTTTCCCACCCGTCAACCAATCAGTCTCGAACCTCGCAGCCACGCTTTTATCCAGGCTTCACTTTTATCTAGGCTTCACGAAATACCGAACACCTAGCCAAAGTACATTTCATGTTAAAAACAATGACATGCAAAGCCGGGCAATAGACACTTTCTAAAATTCAGTGTCACTGGGTGGCTGAAACTGCAGCTTAACTTTTATTACACTAATGACAAAAATGAGCATGTAGAATTACGTTCCACTTTTGCAAATGAATGGCAAACGAGAATGTGTACTTCAGTGCGCAGTTCTTATTATCTTTTTAAATTTCAATGGTGAGTGCCAACCTGTATAAACTCCTTGATAAAATCCTATAAGGGCCATTCCATGCCAAACGTCCCAGATGATGACACCAATGATCGCCGATTTCTTTGAAAAATATTGTAGCCGTTTGCTAAATTCTATAGTAACTTTTGCCAAAATATTCTTTTAGAGCAAAAAAATACATTATAATGCGAGCGCTCTCAGAAGTTTTTGCAGTGGAGCCGAACTAGGTGTATTGTAATATTCCAAGAGATAGCCCACTTAAAATTGAAAGCAAATCGAGTGAAACTAAGGAGTGGGCTACATTTCAGTGTGCGATCAACAAAAGTTGAAAAATTGCTATTTCTAGATCATGTGACCTGCTAAGCTTGTTACCTTAGCGGGAGGCGACCAAGCATACATGACCGTTCCTCCCAGTCAGAAATGTCCGCTTATCTCCTGCCATGGCTAACTAACCCAATTTTCACCAATGTCACCATTGGCCCGGGCACTGCAATTATTGGAAATGGGCTACCTTACGGTGTTTTTGAAAAAAACTGCAAATCATGCCAAAAATAGGAGTGAGTTATCTTTAGGGGGTGGGGCATCTCTCGAGATATTACGGTAATTCAAAAAACTCTGAAAAGTCTAAGCTACTCAAATAAGGTAATTATTTCTGAGGAGGAGGATGACCAGCGAAGCTGTTTAACGCACGACACAGACCCACTTCAAGGAGCCAGAGGAAACTAGACACGCGCGATGGGACAGCCACCCAACGGAAAGTAAACAAGCGCACCAAACCGCCACCTCGTTAGAGCGGAAGGAAAGGAAATTAGGCACGCAAGCGCTTGGAACAATGACAAAGAGAGGGCGGTGCGAGCGTAGACATGGCCAACGCAGGTCACACAGCGGCAAATCTTTGAGAAACCTTTATCTTCTACCTGCGAGTCTACCGATGTTGAAAATGGTGCCTATTGATGACTAATCTGCTGAATAGACCTACTGCTAAGGGAGAATGCAGGGAATGGTTTTTCATGAGCCGCACATTCAAGCGTCTGCGACAGTAACTGTTCTAAAGCAAAAACCCCAAACAAATGGCATCTTGCACACGCGTTCGTCATCGCATTATTCGGGTTATTTACTTTGAATCTTTTATACGGGAAAGGCGTGCGCATGCGGTGGTGCGAGTCGAAAGGTTTTGTTCACGCACACGAAAAATCCACGGACCCCTAGCCACAGAAACCTTGCAATAAAGCTTGCCCCGACAGGTCGCGCCATCTGGTGCGCAACTTCCGCAATGATGGGAAGCCCAGTTCATTATTTGCACCGTTAAAGATGGTGTACTTTCGTTGGCATAGTGCAAGACAGCAGAAATATACGACCACCTTTTTTTCTTTTATTTCTTTTACAGTGTACGATTAAAGCTATATTTTGTGTCATCCTAAAGTGTAAAAGAGCGAAGGGTATTTGCTTTCCGTATATATGAAACCATGTGGTAACAATAATGTTTTAAGATAAAATAGTCAATTTTTTTACCTATTTTATGTATTTTCTAGGTTTCGCAATCAATTAATTGATACCGTGTTTCGGTGATTGATTTACTTTGTTGTAGCACTCAGTCAAAGCCGTCAAAACTTCATTTGTGGCTGTGGTTTCTTTAATGAGATAACTAAAGCCCCAGCCACACGCCTTAACGTTCTGGCATACGGCTGGCGGAAGAAATGAGTAAGGTGGGTGGTACATTTTAGCCTTTAATTTTAAGGCCCGTTCACACTCTTGCGACTGCTTGCGACCTCTTAAACCTGGGTTCCTTAAAACTTCTTAAACCAGAAAACACACTGGCGCCATCTATTGGGAAGCAGTGTAAACTCGGCGGCCCGGCATATTTTTTTTTATTTCTCAAGCAATATACTTTCTTTTTTGGCTCGAAAAGCTTTTGTCAATGTTATAAACGAGCCTTTCTATGGGTATTACGCACATTTGACCTCGGAAATCCCGCAAAACCTTCGCTTTTGTGAAATGCAGTTCTAGGGTCACCGCATAGATGGCGCCACAATGTCAGTGTGTTCCCTCATTCTAGAAACATTTAAGAAGTTGTAAGAGATCTCGCCTCTCTCAGTCGTACTCGGTCGCAAGAGTGTGAACGGGCCTTTAGCCTCGCAACGTTGTCTTTATTTTTGTGGTCATGTAGCGATGTGCTAACTTGACAGTCAATAAATTTTAATTATCATGTACTTCTGTTGAAACAAATCAGAGTTTATATATTTTAAACCAGCCATATGTCACAGTGACTTAAGCCCTCCGAATCCCAAACAATCCCAAAAAAGGGTGGTAGTGCAAATATATTTGTCAGATTGAAAATAAATTTAAAATATAACAAGGTTCTTCAAATGTTCACCAACAATAAAATATTAATGTGACTACAATTATTCTTACCTCAAACATATTTTTGAGTTGATGCAAAGTATTCTGTATACATATAGAAATTAAAAAAAGAAAAGAAAGAACTAAGGGCAGACATGATTTTGTGAATGGTAATCAAAATGATTACCACAACGAAAGGGAAGTCAACTCGTGAGTGCCTTCTGCATCGGAGTGCCTTCAATTGATCATCCAGGATATGCCCGGAGCATTATGTCCACAATACCAAAAGAACAGTTCAGCTCTATCACAAAGAAACCAGTCACTATGTTTTCAATACACGCAGTGATGTACGCAGTTAAACAAGCCAGCGCCGCGTTTGGAAGTTAGCAACGAGGAAGGGGGCAGGAGAGGCAGACCCGTCGGCGACTGCCCATCGTTGCGCTTTTTTCCCTGTGAAGGCGCTGACTATCGCCCGACCGCGGCGCCTCTTAAACATGGGCTCTGGGGCTATAAAAAGCTTCAGTGCAATACAATACTCTGCTGATATTGTTCTTTCGTTTAGTGCCCGAGTTCCTATCATGTAATAGTTTTTTATGTTGGTTTTGTGGGAGTGAAACGCATGAAACATGAGTTTCACTCCTGCATGAAACGAGACATGTTGAGCCTTTAAGATAAGACGCACTCTTGACCTTGAAGATATTTTAAAAGCTTATCTGGGTTGAACTTTTGTTTTATTTTATGCTTAAAATATTGGAGAACAATACAGCAAACAGGTTTCCCAAAAATAAATGTCAAAGTTGCCCGAAACTGAATTTTGCTGAAGATGTAAATTAAGCATCAAGTTTCTCCTGATAAATATGCCAGATGGCTCATTAGGTATGTAAGCTTCTTACCTTGTAATTAGGC